ATCATAAAGCTCTGGAGACTGAATATAATGAAAATAACTCAGCTCACAATCCCAGAACGTGGGCAATAACTAGAAAATTTAGCAACATCCTCATCAGGAGTCACCAACCAACCTAATTTTACTCATATTTCTTGTAAAAGCTGTTTTACCAACCCCTAATAAAAATAAAAAAACATCCAGTACCTTCTTCTGTCTCGTCTTGCCTTTGTTCAGCAGCTATATTCAAAAATAAAAAAAGAAGCGGGCTGCACGACAAGTGATAATTAGGGATGCAGTGATTTTTCTTTCCATCTTGATACAGATTCCTGCACCTCAACTCAGGGTACCTGCCTTCAATATTAAAATCTGTATATCTCACTGAATGGAACTCGCTGGATTTTTTGGATGAGGTCAGGGATTGCTGTAGCACTAAAAAGTGAGTTCAGACTCCACGAATGATCAGAATTTCATTTAGAATGCATTGGTCACATCTGGTCGCTATGCGATCTGCTAAATAAGGTCTGTACAAATGATAATGAGTTAAAAGTGTAGCATATTTACAACACAATATTTTTATTTTACAGATTCTTAGTTGTCAGGATGTACTGGAGATAGTTTAAAATACCTTTTTTTTTTATTTATTGTCAACTTCGGGCATAAATTGGTAAATTGATTCACCATTGCAAAGCAAGTCCATCCATTATGTCCTTAGCTGTACCCACTTATTCTTTGCAGTGTAGCAGGGGGCTCATATTGGGCGAGAAGTGGGGTACACAGGGCAGGTCACCACAATTCACCTAACTTGCCTGTCTTTGGACTGTGGGGAGAAAGTGGAGCACCCAAAGACAGTCTGATGTAGGGACAGAGAAAACATTTAACTCCACACAGAAAGGTCCCAGCTGACCTCAAACCCAGGAACTTGTTGTGAGGCAATGGTGCAAAGTAAATGCTCACTCAAGTAACGAGTTGCCTTGTTTTAAAGGTGGTGAGGATGAAGTACTGAAGTAAACAGAAGAAAAACTTATTACTGACCATTAAAACTACAGAACTACTTCTCATTTATTTACAGGTCCTCCTTCACATAATGTTACACTGGTCCTTATAGTGAAATCAGTGCTGGTGTTTTAAAACCAACAAACAGTTCTATTCAATCTCCATTTTAAAGTGACAAAGGCAACGACAGCTGTCAGCTGGTGCAGAGCTTGTATTTTGCCAGGCTCTATTCAGACTTGCTTTTCTTCTGGCAAAAGCGGCCTGCTGGTTTTGCTTGTCCTCCGATCCTTTGGCAGGGTAACACAGGGAAATCTTCAGAACAACTAAGATTTGTTCCCTTTTCTGAGGATGCCTTTCAGGCCAGGCACTGCAGTGAGGCCTTCTGGGGATTTGAAGCCCATTGTAAAAGACAGATATAAAGGCAATCCTTCCCAAAAGGGTCTGGGTGTGATGAATAATAGAATGTATGCTTCGCTGTCAAATGACAAAGCTAATAATTTGATGCACATCTAGAAAGTGTGTTAATTATCTTGATGGGCTCTTGCTGAAGTTAACAACCACATTTTAAATTAGCAAGATTTAAATCTTCAAATCTAGGTTTGTGTGAACACAAAACACTGCAAAATACTGTAAAATGACAAGACTTTTACAGCTACACTGAAACCTCATGTGGCTGTGAAGTGTGTATTTGTTTCTTTGGGTTCTACCGCTGGGAAAGATAAGTTCATGGTTCAACAATGTCAGTGGAATTCTAGTTCTATGTTGAATTTTGCTTTTCCATGTTATTATGTGGATCTAAACACTGGCACCACAATGAGTGGTGACCAGTGTTTAGATAATTTATAGCTCAACCACGTTTTATAGCATTACTGTTTTTCTCCCTCTCTCTCAATAAAACTAATAGATCCTGCAGGATGGTGTAAACTAGTCATGCATGTAGAATTTGCAGAAAAGCCCATTGCTCATTGGGAATTGATTGCACTACCAAAGCCAGACTGAGAGGCAGAGGCATTGTGGAATTACAAATCTAAATCACTGCAGTTCCTGAACTGCAGACAGAATATGGCCTGAGGACACACCATACTGTTGTATAATCTCCGCTAGATTAAACACAAACAAGGCTAATGCGAGTTTCAGTCACAAAAAGAGTGACGTATGGTATGATGAAGATTTTTTTCAAAAATATAATTTAACCAAAGCAACTGACACTATAGACTAATATAGAGTGTGTTTCCATAGTGTATTTTAGTATTTTTGTTATGTTATTCTTTTTGCAAAGGTCATTGCCAGAGTTTTCCATTCATTTCCATTTCATTTCTGTGTATTAAAACCAAAATTGACACTTCCCACATACGATGGATTTATTTTTAAGTATTTGTGTGTGCGAATACAACCAAGACTCCACTCGTCGATCTCCACTTATATCATCTTTTCTTTGTTACACTTTATGGTACTGTGGCCAATAACAACAAATGAGACAACAATGTAATGTATTATGAATTATATTACAATAACAGACAATACCTACTATATAGATATTATATCAGTATTAAACAGATATTTGGCCCAGCAATGCACAAATTAATGGAAAAGGTTTTGCTGACAGACTTCGCCTGAAGCTGCTGTATGCTATTCCTGCTGCAAAAATGGGCTGTACTGGCCTACATACCTGCATTCTGTGACTCTTTAATGGACTAAATCTGATGAACCTGAAAGGCCAAACTGCTCCAAAATGCTGTTATCACACAGAGCCCACCAGTCTTACCACTTTAAGTCAACTCTTCGCCAGTAAACTGCTCCAAATCAAGCTGGTATTCAATACTCACACCATAAATGAATGATATCATGCACGGCCTCGCATGTGAGAGGAATCAAATGGGCCAGATTCTGACAGAAATATAGCAGGATAACATAGGCCTAATCCTGCACACATAGTGCAAAGCTGGAAAACCAAAGTTAAGCATAAATTGTTTGTTAGTGACTCATTTGTACAGGGGCTTCATCAACTAACTAGTGCAGCAGAAGCATAGCTGTCCAATTCACTACAGTAAAATCCCTTTCATTGGTTTTGCCCATGTATGAACTCCAGTATGGCTGTGCTGACTCCAGAGCTGGTGATGCTTTTAAGTCTAAAGAATTAAAGAAACTTTTCTGGGTAAATCTAACCGTACCAGTATTGACTGTAACCTACAAAAAGGTTGGAAGTGCATCACAAAGTGCCTCTGTAGTTTATAGCCTCTGAATCTTTCATGAACAGTGTGCTTGTAGCCGTGAAACTGGACAGAACTACACAGTACTACCAGGCCATCTTTGTAAATAAGAAGTTGTTCTCTAGAGTCCTGTCTGGTTAAATAAAGGTTTAATAATACTGTTGGTACAGTGAAACTACAGTATTTTAAAGTAAAATAAACATTGCCAATTAGATTATCATTATCGGAATAAATGAGAATACACCAAACAGTGCACAATTTCACATATAGTCACATAAGACTGCACAGTATGAAGTCTTGTGTAAAGGCACTCTAAACAGTCTCAATATTCTCTATGATTTGTCATGACCCAAAGATCAGTTTAATCTAACTGAAAAGCTGCACCTGGCTCACCATCTGTCAGACCACATTCACTGATTGATTGATAGATGAGCAGCATTTTAAGTTTGTAATCTGCTGAGGATAGACAAAACCAAGATGAGATAAATTCATTCAAAGCGCCACTGCTGAGAACAGAAACTGTGCCTCAGGTCTGAACGTGTAAAGATATCTGGAGTGGTGTCCAACAGTGCTGCTAGCAGGGATTCGCTCCGGACAGTCTGTTACAATACAGCTCAAACAGATTCATATCACCAGTGTACCATGTTTTGTCATCAGTTTTCTGTGATATAATCTCCAGAATCCGCCATTTATGCCTTCTATTGACAGCGACAGATTGTTGTACCACTCAGCTTTTTTATTTGACTCTATTAAGAGCTCAATGGATTTAGTCGAAGCCAAAGCAGAAAAACTGTCCTCTGCAATTACATTAACAGTCTGCAGTCAACACAGACATGACAGTTGTCAGAACAGAGAAGATCCCCAGAAATAAAATGGCATGCGGTCAGTTAATGTATCATCGGTAAAGTAAACATCTGTCAAGACAGATTGATCCACTGTCCCACTGACATCTGGCTGCAGACATCAGAGGATTTTTAACTTTGTTCATTGGTTGCGTGTTAACTGTAAAGTACAAGGTTTATTTTTAGCACTACTATGACTACTGTTACCAGTAAGCTACCTACCATATTGTGAATTTTGTCTTATTCCTGCCCAGCTGTCCAAACATGAGCACCATGGCAAATGGTGGTCTAACCATCAGGAGCAACTGATATTCAGTGTATTGATCAAGGACATTTCGACATGTAGATCAAACCGCCAACCTTACAACTAATGGACAACCTTTTCTTTCGCCACACCTGCCCCACAGCATGATGCCATTATAAGATATTTTGCATTTATATGCTCCCACTATTTACCAATGTGGATTCAACGCCCTATTTTGGAAGTGTTATAGTACAGGATGATGGCATAACACCATACTGTCTTAAAGGAAATGCCTGAATCCAAAGATAAATGCAACAAGTTCATACCCATTCTCTGCAAGTTGAATGGCAAAGAACACTTCAAAACAACTGTTGGTGTTGTTAACTTTATTTGAATCGTATAAGATTTGTTTACATAAAACCTATGCTTTAATCCAACAAAAATTTATAATGGGTCTTTTACCCCTAGCATGCAAATGTTTTAATTAAGAGTAAGAGAAATTGAACAGCACTACACCATATCTCAGTAGACCTTTGCCAGTGAAACCAAAGCATCCTTGGAGCAACGAACAAGAATCCGTGGATGTCAGCACCATCAAATAAATTTGTCACACTCCTCATCACAAACATAACAAAGTAAGCGCGTTAAATCCCACCAGACAGTGCTTGAAGAGCCAGCATTTAATATCAACATAAAGTAAAAACAAAAAAATAAGAAGTAAAAAATGCCTACCTTATAGGTGTAAGGTGCTTGTCCAAGGTTGATTCCATCTTTTGCAAGTTTATCCCTTATCAGTACCTTGAGTTTCAGTTTGGGATATGTCACAAAGTCATCACAATCTGTGACTCTGGGGTTATGGTTCCCAGGACAGGAGGCCTGGTGTATACCTGTGGTCTGTGAGTTTGACCCCAAAGTCCTGAAGTCATCTTCTCTGACTGAGTGTGAAGAGTGGTTGCAAGTAGAAGGATCCAGAGGCTCTAAGGTGAAATAGTAGCTAGGTGTTTTCCTTTTGTCCTCCTCTTTTAGCTTCTGCACTGCTGTGAGCAGCCTGTGTCTGTGGTACTCAATGTGGACACCTATGGCATCAAGGTCCGGCTTCCCAATCTGTTTACAAACTTCCAAGTCATCATAACCATTGTCAATGAATGACTCCACATACTGGGCCAGATGGAGCTTCGACAGCCACTGGAGGACAAGGTTTGGCCCTTGGCTCATCTTAAAAACAAAATATGGAGACCTACCTCAAGTGCACAAAGGGGTTTGTGCAGAGGTAGTCCAGCACTCTGGTCCATGTAACTCCCACTTGTACACAAAGTCCCAAGTTCAATGCTCCAAATTAGACAAATCTATTAGTTGTGGCCAGAACAATAGAAAACACAGTGAAACCATATTTGGAGTCTGTCAGACGCCCTTTAACCTGTCCAATCCTGGCTGAAACATCTGCACTGCTTAAATTCTCTTGAGCAAAAACGGTGAAGACGATGCCAACAAGACAGGTTGAGGCACTCTTATTGACGCTGAAATCTTGGAGGCGTGTAAGTTAAGTGAGTGGTAATGTGTCCTACGTTACATTAAGAAGCTAGTCGGTTTTAAGTCAAAGGAGTCCGCCAGACGAATTCAACGTCTTTAACCGTTTAAATGCATGTTAACGGTTAAATCAAGCGGGCGTACGGACTCAAACAAATGAAGTATTATATTTAGCTACTTTTATCTGTCGTCGACGGAAACGTAAAGTTAACGTTAGCTGGTGATAAAAGCTTTAAACCGAGTTGACCACGTGTGTGTGAAATCCTCTGGCAAAGATGGGGGGGGAAATCCGTAAGGTTAACAGTTGGCGTCTTCTCCGGCTGCGTCCATCGTCTTTGTTTAATTCATCGCAACGGTTACAGAGCGAGACGCTCAGTCAAACATTCATCCGAAGTAAAAATTAAAAGGTTGATGCTTGAGCCAGATCGATATAGAACTACTGTAAAAACGCTCGTAGAGAATAATACACAATTCCCTGTACCTGTTCAGAGTGCACTTGTTGTGGCTGACTTTGTGGCTAGCTTTTGCCGCATTCAACTTTGCTGTCCCTCCGCTCCATCCGCCGCGGTTCAGCCCGTGTGAGGATGATGCTCAGCCTCGGCTTAAGGATCTGCTGTTGTAGTTCTTACCCCAGCTGGACGACGGGAGTTCAGCGACCGCTAGCGCCACCTGCAGGGGCTTCTGGGAAATGAAAGAGTCGTGAATTAAAAAAAACAACAAAATCATAAAAAATACATAACTAAATAAAACCAATATAATAAAATATATGAAACAATAAAACCAATGATAATTATTATTATTATTTTTTAATAACTGGATTTTTACAAACTGTGTATATATATGATACACACAGTAGCCATTCCAGCATGATGCTTAAATTGCATGGAATACTTAAACACTCAAATACAATCGGAAATACTCTAAATATTATGCGTAATTTCCGAATTATTTCTACCAAAATTCAGCTTGACAAACATATTTGGATTTTTAAATACTCATGGATCTGTAGCAAGTCCTATAAGTTTGAACTACTTTTATCGGTAGTTGCACAACATAACAACAGAAATGTCATAGTTTTAGGGAAATAATTGTTTATAAAAAAGGTATATGCCTAGCACAGGTGACCCTATAACAAAAATGGACTGACAGTGATATTTCTTTTTTACAGCTTATGGTATGCAACATATGCCAATATATATAGATGCACCTGTAATTACACCAATTAAAACACAAAAATGATACCATGACATTATAAGCTATATTATAAAGGATGAAGACACCGCATGAAAGAAAGTAAACAAAATCATTTTAGAGAAGAAATATCTTTCACAACTCGTACATAGTCTGAAAACAAAAAAAGATTTTGTGCCACTATGGATGTTTAAAAAACTATAGCATAGTCTAAATGTGCAGTGTTGGACTTGTTCAGCAAGACAGATCAATCTATAGCCGACACTGACCTCTGACCTGTGGAGGGACATGTCCAAAAGGTCTGTGAGCAAACAGGAAACAAGACAAAACATGTTATGACTGGTTTTACATTTATTTTACATTGCACAATTATATATGTGTATATATATGTATATATATCTCTATACATACATATACATACTGTATCTACAGTCTAAATTGTTTGTGGCAGCAGATTAATTCAGACATCCATGTGAAATTTACTTTAATAAAACTGTACAAAAATTGCCTACTATGAGAAAATACTGCAACTCCACAGATATTCATCCCAGAAGACAGACAGAGGGATGGAAGTATGGCGACTGAGAAACGTTTAAGCTCTCCTGTGCGGTGCTGTGAGCCTATCTTTGCTTTCTATGCATTTCTACAGTGCAGGGAAAGCAAGAGTTTTCATTAAGCAACCAGTAACTTAAACAAATGTACCAATAAAATAAATATAATCTCTCACACTTATACAATTGGCATGATCAAATGAAAATGGGACACGCTTCTGATGTGTGAAGAGAACTTCAGTTTTGTTCAACATGGTGGTGAATACAAATGCCAGAACAGACAATCTCTAAGAGGGATAATACATGGTTGTTTCAAGTTTGTAAACACTTAATATCATGCATCCTTCAATGTGCAATAAGAGACCATTTAGGACACATCTGTTGCAAACTGAAGCACTTTATAGTCGAGGCCACATTTTGTAGAAAGACTCAGCAGCCCACCAAGTGGAGATGACCCTCCTGCAGTAGCAGAGATGAGTGTGTTCAATATATAACCAGGATTATTTTATTTTCATGTCTGGATGATGGATCATTATGCACAACCATTGTTTTGACATTAATGTGAGTTATTTTCTCCCAAAATTACATTTAAGGTATTCATTTTTAATATATTATTGAAATTAAAAGCATATATATATATTTGTTTTCAAATATATAATATATTATCATTGACCTGACATTGAAAACAAATCTGAGAGTGAAGCAATCAGCATAATTGCCAAATGACATAGATAAGCATAGGTTCTGTCATGTTTTGGTCCTTTCAAAAATAAGAAAATGGGGTTAGAATAAACACACCAAAACTCATAACAAAATTACAAGTACAAAAAATGTGCAAGTGCAAAACCCATATAACTGCTCTTTGAAATGGGTTTATCTCAGCAGTATACAGTAGAGTAGATTAAAATCAGGCAGTAAAAATTGAAGGGTTTTATTCCAAAAGGCTGTATATCCATCTTGGATAAAACATTTTTGGTCTAATCGAACACTGATCATCTCCTAAGTATACAGGATTTAATTCTCGAAAATCCAAGAAAATGGATCAAAACATCTAACAGTTTTACTTCATGCCTGCAGCCATTTACTTTGAGTCAGTGTCGCATGCTCTTCTTTGGTGGATCTCTCATTTTGGAATGAAACTCTTCAAATTCACTTTGCCTATCCTCTGTAAAGGAGTTTGGGTAATGAGGGTGACATGCCCATAAAAGAAGCTAAAGCCAATCTACTGTCCAACCCTACAGACAGTAGACTTCTTATTTAAGAGTGCTGTCCAAGATACCCCGACTAACTCTTACCATTTGGGAAAAAAATCAAGACAACTCTGTGAAATTAAGCAACTCTTTGGTGTCAAAAAAGAACATGGCCGCAAGTGTACAGTATGTCACGTAGCCTGAACCTGCACTATCAGATTTGTGTCCAGCTGTCCCGTTATTTACAACATTTGGCAGCAATCCAGACCGTCAAAGTCTCTCTTTTCAAAATAACAGACCAACAAGTAATGCTCCTACATTGACACAAATAGCAGCATGTCCTTGCACCTCATGAAAAAGAAATCTAATTACAATAGAACTCTAGTTAATCACATTGAAAACACAGTCAAGCAAAAACAAGAACCTCAAAAGACCTATTGTAATACACTGTATCTATGTAGTATTATAAATATTGGCGCCCATACACATATTCCTGAATATATGCATGTTCACAAACACACAGACATACATATAGGTAGAGGTTAGCATATATGTGTCATGAGGCAAAGGCAGAAGAGAAACAGTGTTTAAGTGAATGGCTGAGAGAGAAATGACCAATGGCCTTGTGAGGAACACTATGGTGCTTGGTCATTTCTACTGGCAGCTACAAATACAAAGACAGGATTACCATTTCCATTGTGCTGTAAGAGACACATGCTTTTTTCCGTACATATTGAGAAACCAGACAAAAAAAAACAAAAAAAAAACATCAGTTATGACAGAATGCAAAAAAACAAATCTGAATAAGCATGTATAGATAGAATCTTTATCACATAAAATTGTAACCAAAATATACATTTATGCTAATCATACAAGGACAATCCTTGTCTTGCCCTTCCACATATCCCTCTCATACGTGACTTAGCTATTACAGCCCCTTGAATGCTAGAAGAATATAAGCCCTTCAGGGGTTTTCCAGTGTATCAACTCTTAGTTTTTCTGATAGATTAATGTAAACTCTTCAGTGGGGGTAAACATTTCAGCACTTAGCCCATTTAATTAACAAAGGAAAAATTTTAATGGCCAACATACAGACTAATTTTACTTCCTATTACTGTTCCAATAAATAATGTAATTTAAAATAAAAACAAAAGGTGACTCTCAGAAAACACAGCATTAGTCTTTATCACTTAAAACAACTTGGTTGGAAAATGCAGTAAAAGAAATGGTCGGTGATGAACTAGCACACTACCAGCCCTTATTCGGTGAGAGGCATTTCATTAACTCCCTGTCTATTCTATACGGTTTTAAGTGCTTGAGAGGCCCTTTATGGACAAAACATGACAAAAAGGGACTCTAATAATAAAATAATTTAAACCAGAAAAACAAACATACACATGCCCTTTACTGATTCAATCATTCCTATACAGACTTGCATCTTCATTTGACTTGATTAGATTTGAAGGACAAGGGTTCATCAGACTTTTCTCCTCATTTATGTCCACTGTGTTTGGCAGACACGATAAAGGGCAGAGAAAAAAGAACAATTGCAATCAGGCCACTACAAGTACATCTTTTGCAGAATTGTCTTTCCTCAATCAGAACAAAACAGCAGGGTATATATGAGTGCATGATGATGGAAATGATAGGTCCCCTCTCTTCTGTTTGGTGTACTGATGTTAAATAAACATCATCACTCTCAGGAGAAATGGAAAGAGAGATTCCTAAGGGGTTCTCTTCTTCCATTTCTTTCCATTCTCATTACGTTGGGTCAGCCAGTGTCAACTCCGCAGCAGTCCTCCGGTGACTGAGGTAATGCAGAGTGTATGATATTGTACCAAGAATAAAAGCACAAGTCTGTTGAGCAGAACCCCCCGTGGAGAGGAATAGAGAAGAGAAGTAGAGGAACCTGCAGCTCTTAAGAGACACTGGTGTGCGTGATTACAGAGTCCGATGCTCCACGCGCTGCCATCAGAGCTGGTACCACTTCTTATCTTTGTACTTCAGCATCATCTTAAGGGAGAAAAGAGGGAAAATAAGAGTCACAAATAACCAGTTAACATGATAAACAATGTTTAGGTCCTCAAATAAATGACAGGTGCGTACATCATGAGCATGTTTGGAAAAGGAGTCTGCGCTGGCCATCATGGCTGCAGTTCTTTCCTCCAGCTCGCCCAGTTTCTGCCCTCTCTCGTCCAGTGCTATCCGGGCGCGAGCCAGGTCTCCCACAACCCCTGATGCTGCACCCTTCATGCCCTCCATGCTCCCTGGACCAGGGATGTGCTGGGCCAGGCTACGGGAAGCCTTACCAGCAGCTGTTTCACCGACTTCCAAAGACAAAGAGAAATCCATTTAATGTGTTGACAAATTCAAACATTAATCTTCCCATGTTCAAAGTAAAATCCAATGGCACCTTGGTGTAACTGAAATACCATTACCAAAAATACTTCTAATAGTTGGGTTTGGTCAGCCAGTGAAATAAAAATAAACAGAGTTATATAGTATACACAAAAGTAAGACAAAATGTAAAATTATTAGGCTGAAAAGAAATCATAATTTGATACTAGGCCATTCTGTACTCACAGAGGTCTTCCCTGTCCAGGGACTGAGCTCCTCCCCCAAAAAGGCCTTTAAAGAAACCTCTGTTAGGAGCCTCTGGTGTCTCCACAGGGGTAAATAACTCACTGAGCATCTCCTGAGGAAGACATAAACGTCAGCACATCTATTTCAATCTATATTCCTTGTAGCAATGCAGACTGTCCTAAAAAGTATCCTACAGTTTTTTTTTAAATATATACACCATGCCATTTCAGGTATCAATAATGGACAAATTATGTACTTTCACATTCATGAAAAGAACACAATTTTTTAAACTACCATTGTAAAACTAGTGACCTCAGTAGCTTAATAAGTGCACTACATAACAATATGCCTTCTTCTGTGCCCCCATTTCCGGCGTTTCTCATTTGATGTTAAATCTGAATAGACAAAGGTCCCAGATTTCTACTTGCCCACACAGGGAGCTTAGTGTAGGAATAATTGGCGTTGTATCGGAAAGCCAAGATTCATTACAAGCATGGTGCGTAATGTTAAAGTGATACTACAGCGCAGAGCTGGTTCAAACGTTTGGACAAAAATTGTTAACTGCGTGTTGAACATTCACACCAGAATTTTTCTTAAAAAGTGATAAGGTCTCTTCCCCCACACATACTGCACATTTGTTTGTGTCCTCCACTTATGTGGGTTATTGCATCTAATGATGAAACATGAATTTAAATGTTTCACGGTATAACTCCTTGACCAATTGAGAGTATCTGACCTGCAGGTTATCGCAGGTCTCCTGGCTATAAGTGATCCTCTGGATCTCAGTTGGGGAGGTGAGGTATAGGGCCTGACCCACATTGGAGAAGCAGAATGTTCTGGCTATCCTCATATCGGTCAGCGGCAAGTAGTTTACATCCAGCAGAGGCCTTAGACTGGGCAAACTGTAATGATACAAATTAGAGACATTGAGACCACAACTAAGAATTGTGCAATACAAATTAGTAGTAGTTTTTATGATTTCATCAGATATTTTGAAAGTAGAAGCCAAATATAAGTAGAAGCTACAAGGGATTATACCTTAGAGCCATTATATGCCCATTAGCACAGAAACAGGTGATGCAGTTGGCTCCGGACATCTGCACAACATCAGCCCTCAGCACAAAGGAGGACTCTGTGATGCTGTGTTTGTAGATGCGGGTTTGGGAGGGCATGGCCACCACCTTGGCCTGTTTCTCCGAACACAGCACGGCGAACTGGGAATCTTGACCGTCTTGTGAAGAGGGAGGGGAGGCTGGCCTGCGCTTCCGGCTCTTCTCCTTCTCCTCTTCGGAGGCATTTGAGTCATACCACGGCTCGTAGGAAGGGGGCAGCAGAGTTCCAGTGGCATCCAACAGGGCCATAGTCAAAATGCCTCCTTTGAGTCTGACCATAGTGCCTGAAGAATGAGTATTAAGAGGTATTGTTTTAATTTGGATTAATGACAGCCTTCAAATTACTACAGAATATCAAGCACATTTTTACTCAGTGCTACATTCCTTAATTCAAGGTCAACAAAGAAGTCAACAGAGCGTGATAAGTTGGATATCTTCATTTGGAACATCTGTACAATAACAGTGATAAGAAATAAATAAAACCACATCCACTAGCCAACAAACCATCAAAGGCTTTTTGTCCTGTACTCTCCCTAAGGCATTGGATTTTCTTTTTTCCAATTTAAAACTTAAAAGGTTAAAGAAAAGGTCTGGTGCAATACAATGATCCTAAAACCGTCATGACCTTTCACTTTTTGGAATACAAAAATACTGGTTTGGGTCCTTTTCTAACCCTGTTTTTAGTAAATGTCTCACTTAAATAGTTATAATGTAACTATAGATATGCAGTGCTGCTGTGCTGCAAAAATGGCTTGAACAAACAATGCATGTGAACTTGTGGACTCAATGTGGCCACGTGGCACCTACGATTACTGAACTGCATTTTTAAATTCTGATCAAAAACATACACTCACTTGCTAAAAAATACAGCAAGTGACTCAACAACAACTTCCCAAAGTGCAGAGATTTCTGGGAATGGAATCTGACCTTCTTGGAAACAAAACTCCTTACACACAGATTTCAAGTGACCACATTTCCCCATCTCCATACCCCTTCACCACTTCCTTTCTAAATTTCAACTACTCTTTATAGCGTAAGAAACCACCAAGACATTTCAACTATGAAGGTCAGAGTCATTCTGAAGTTTAACAAGTAATAGACGAAGAAACATTTGCTATTGCCTACAATATACTGTATTTTATCTTCAATACATGTTCAATCCCTGCAGCACAAAGCTAGCTTTCTCATGTCTTATGGAAAGTGTGATTTTAAGAGGCTTCAAGTAGTGACTGCTGTAGACAGGTGTAGGAGATTTGTCCTTGTACTGTTGTTTCAATGCCGACTGATTATCAACAGAGGTCATCTATGAGTCAATGTACTTTGTGTGTCCCCAGTCACATTCAGATCCCCACCTGTTGAATTGCATCAAGCTTCTTACCACAGGAGGAGATGCCAACTGGTTGCTGCAGCCTCTGGTCCCCACCGGGTGGCAAGCTAAGGGCCACCATCATCACAGAGCCCTGGGTGGTTCCCACCAGCAGACAGGGGCTGACCAGGCTGTCCACCTTCCTGGGGAAACTCTCACAGAAGTGAAAGGAGGAGATGGCCTCCCGAGACTCTCTGTCTATGCTGGTTACACTTGAACTACGTGAGCGGGTGAATGAGTTATCCTTGGCATCTGGACAGCAGGAGTGAGCACAAAAACGAGAAAATTAAGAAATGATTTGTGTGAAATGAACGGGGTAAGAAGATTATAGAGGGCTTCTCCATGCAGGATAATTAGAGATGTTATTGGTATTAAATCCACCAAGTCAAAATGTAGGTAATATGTTAGAACTTTGTTGTGCTACCATATGTTTAGTGGAGCACATCCTCAATCATATTCATGTCTTTTATGAAAGTGATAAAAAACAACAAACCTTTGACTAAGGTACACCAAAAAGCTTTTTGACATTGAGATGCTCTTGTACAGTCTATATCCAATTAAAAGGTTCCCATAATGTACTTTTTTGCAATTACATTTGACAACAACATTCTCAATGTGAAACAAATGTGTAAAATATGCATGCAAGGTAGTACAGGGACTCCCAAGGAAGAACTGGTGCGTGGAATGCCTCATTACTGTGCTGACAGCAGCTGACACAAGCTTTTAGCCTCTTTAAAAAGCTAATGAGGCATCCCAACAGTAAAAAAGACCTGTGACACAGAGGGGAAGGCTAAACACACCACCCGCCATGTGTGTTCTTCACAAGGAAAGACTGTAAACAAGAAAAGCAAGATTTTTAACACTGAGTGCAGTCAGGTCAGTCGATCTTCCTCAAAAAGAATGAAACCATCATTGTGAGAGGATTAGTGTCGTATGTCAACCCATTCAGAATAATGAAAATATAAGTCCCAGCAATGGTGGGGGTTAGTACCAGTTAACCCACTTCAGCCTAAGACAGACCTAACTGGTCCACTCACAGAAGTTGGGGGCTGACTTAGTTCTACTGATGGGCCCGTTCTTGCTCATCCTGGCTGCCGCCTTATCTTCCTTCACACAACAAAAGCGCTTCTTAAATGTGACACAGCGCCGTTGGAACCTCTTCTCTTCTCACAGTGCAAACAGAGAGACTTTGTCTCAACTTACAGTATAACATCCCAAGAGTCAAACATTTACACCAACACGCTATAAGACAATATGTAGTCTCACATATATTTAAGAGCTGTGAACTTCACACAAAGCAGCAGAAAATTGAAATGACACAATGAACACCTGTAGGAAAATGTAAAAGTTCTTAGAAGCTAAAATTCAGTAGTTTTGGCTTACCCACGTCTGTCTTTTGCTCGCTAGATGAGCTAATTCTCCGTGACATCTTGGCTGTAACAGAAACAAATACTCCTATTTTTTGAGCAAAGCATGATGGCTAAACATTTTGAAAAATCCAAAGATCATTTAAATGAATTACAATCAAAGATTCCGTAATTATCATTTCTATAGTCTGTGACCGTGTTTTTACTGTGCAAATCAGTGCAAAATCATTGAGATAAATTATGATTTTTAGTCATTCTTAAGAGTGGTGATATATACTGAAGGACAACTGTTGAGGACATACAGAATACTGTCACACACTGTGTGCAAAAGGACTGCATTGCTTTAAGAGGAATATTCTGATTCTAAAAACATTTCAAATGATTTTAGATGGTTCATTTAACTTTGGTGCTTGCTACCAGGAGTGTTGCCAATCTAACATGTAAAACCCCATAAGTTGCCTGTTGAAGTCTATAACCACCCTTAGGGAAACCCTGAGAATACAAATGAGTCTGAGAGGCATCACAGACTACCAAAGGGCCTGTAATGTCAACCAAAGCAAGGCACAGTCAAGAAATAAGGTCACTGCAATTCAGTAAACAGTTGTGCAAAGAGAGTAGGAGGAGGAAAAATCAGTGGGTAGCCAAAGAGTTAACACTGAATTGAAGTCCTGGAATCGGAAACACACAGAGCAAGTGTCTACAATCAAAGAGAAATAATTCACTTAAACATTAAAGTGACACGGTTAGACATTAGTACTGTAGAATAAGGCAGATTTTCTATGCTTTTGGAATTAGGAAAAAAATAAAATATTCCAATTTAGCATAATATTTTCAATCCAGAGTTGTGTAACAGCCTACAGCGTTTGGAGGAAAATCTACATAGAAAATTTGCGGCCTGTAATTCAAAAGATGTCCTGTCATGCATTGGATAAAGAATTCTGATTTATTTCATGAATCAACTATGTGACCCTCAAACCACATGATTAGTAGACACTTCTTGAAAGCATTCTTTCTTTCATTGGCACAAGATGCACAGATTGGCGTAGGATTAAGGCACAGTGTGGTTAGAACGCTGTCATTCAGAGAGTGAGTGAGCAATCAGAAAGAATACATCTGGATGATACAGTACCAAAGTCATTGGCAACCGTCTTGGAAAAGCGTCTGCTTTTGAACTTCACTGGAAATAAGGTTTAAAAAGGACAAATCAGAAAACTCCAGCCATTTTTAAATGCTTAAATTCAAATGGACATGCAGCTTTTAAAAATACAGTACCCTTCTCTATGAACTTCTGTTTGCGCTCATCATCAGAATTGCAAGGTGAGGTAGAGCCTACATAACAAGTCCAACATGGCAGCATTTGAAAACTATGTATTTCAAAATAATAAAAGGGTTTGGGGGTTTTTTTTGTATGAAGTACTCAGACTAAAGGCAGGCTTACCAGATGTAGGTGATTTGCAGCGGTCCTCTGAGGTGTTGGACCCATCGTTGGTATCGCAGGGTGCTGTGGGAGCCACAAATGTAATTAAACATGGTAGAACTGTTCATACTCTTGGATGACACACAGCAAGTCTTAATTCCTACAGTGCATAAAGTGAAAATAACAAAGGGTCACCTATTTGAACAAATACAGGGACAGCTACCCATAGTGTTGTAAATAAGCCACACTTGAGTTCACTTCACAAATCTAGTACAAATCTGTTGACTCAAGGTGTCAGTATTATTTGTCTAGTAATAGGGGGCAGGGTTTAAAGATACACTACCTGAAGTGCCCTCAAGTCTTAAAATTCCTCTAAGCTCACTGCTGCTGTTTTTAAAAAGTCAATAGTGAGCTTTGGGGATTTAGGGGTGCTACATCAAAACCAGGGAGTGTATCTTTATGAGAAAAAGGAACGGCTTAGAGGAGAGAAATTATACTGTAGGGAGGAAAGAAATTCTGACACAACATGACTTACTTAAGTGAGATGAGCGTAGTTTTTTCACAGACTCGGTATACAATTTAGAAAGTCTGGACATGCAAGACGTCACAGTTGGAATGTCTTTACCAAATCATAGAGAGACCAACAGTAAAAAAAAAAGTGAGACAGAAAAACGACTGGACATCATAATTAGAGAAAAGAAAGCTAAGAGTCTCAGAGGCTTGCTGCTGTATTTCTAATTGAAATTAAACAGTAAAACAACATATTTAAGATAAGTACTCTTGCAGTCTACATAAATAAAGATTTCTATGGCAGATTGCCCAAATAGAAGAGTCTTGAATCTAGCACCAGGCCACTGAGACTGAAATTAATGAATACCAACAGTGAATCACAAGATGATCAGGCAGACACAAAAACATTGTAAAGACATGACAGAAACCGCAAAGCTAAAACAAGCAAATAAGTATCAACTATGTTTGTTTTTTTTATAAAAAGGAAAATGCTGTTGCAACACTGATACATTGATTCACTCTGACTGAATAGATCACGGAAATTAATGCTCCACTGTCTTTGGTCTGTCCAACTGAACAGATGGAGAATCTGTGAGTGATGCCCCCTGTTGAGGGACAGGAGCTACTGCAGGAGGCAGAGCTCATGGTGAGAAGTCAAGGCTGCTGCCAAGTGTCAGCTCTGCCTCCCTTACCCATCCTTACAGCCACAGCCATTCAGCTAATTGTTTAGATTGCTTTAGCAGTGCAAATAAATATGAGAGAAGAAGATACATACATAAAGCATTTATTTCAGGGTTAATAATATTAGTCTGGCTATGGAGAAAGACAAAAAAGTAGGTGAGTGTAGCTCACCTCCAGAAGGCTGTCGCGGTTTGCGAGGGGAGCGAGGCTGCCTTGGGTAGGGGTCAGATGGGCTGCACAGTTCCGTTGTGCCCATGTTGAGGAGCAGAGTTTTCTGGAGGTAGTCCACCACAGCCAGACCATTAGTGTTTCCAAACACCACACTGAAACACAGGAGGGTAGAGGGACACACGGAGAGTTTATTTACAGTTGCACTTTATAAAAGGTTACTACCTTCAGTGTAACAGGATGCAATTAACATTTCTTGATGCACAAACACTGCACCGGGATAGCCATTGCTATCAACACAAGTTTGAGCATAAAGTGATCTCATGTTAAAATCAGAAGTGTGCAGGCTGGATAGACTTACAGGCCGTAGGAGGAGTTGATAGCCAGGCTGGTGATCGGCTGAGGTGGCTCCCCGCTCACCCACACCAGCTGGATCACCAGCTCCACCTGGTAGCCCGGAGACTGCTTTAGCGGGGAGCTCCGCACCCTGCATCAAACACACAGCAGGATGAGACAGCAGGCGGCACATTACACTGGAATGAATTATCACCCTTTGGGTAAGCCACATAGACAATATCATATTTTTTTTATTATTGTTATTAAGAGGATTATTTTCCCCTGGTGTACTGATGTGAACATTTTGTGAAGGGTTGAGCAGCTGACTGGAAGGATTGAATGGATAACTACATCCCTCTTCGGCATCAAGTGTTGAGTGACAAGTAACAAGAACCCAATTCAACCTCTTTGCAAAACATAACAAGAAAGCGTAATTGTCCGTACTGCAGGCATGGTATATTGTCCCGGGGTCCATCGGTGGAATTGCTGCCTGTGGAGGGTTGAGTGGGTGGCTCGCTCTCCTGAGGGCTGGAGGAGGCCCCCGGGGTGGGCAGGGTAGGGGTCTTCTCCCCTCCTGTATCAGGGGAGTCCCCATTGCTAAACTCACACTGCATCCGCACCTCCAAAAGCTAAACACAAGAGATGATATGTCACACAGAGGCTGGTTCTTGGATATATCTGACTGTCACCTCTTAAAATACCAGTACATTCATCTCTCTCCTTGGATGAAATTATCCCAGAACCTTCTTTTCCCTATGCTGTCTTTCCCTGTCTAATTGTCCCAAAAAATAAAGATTACAAAGGACAGGGGTCTGTCTGCTGTTAAATAAAGATTAATATTTCCAAAACTATAAATCTGCATGTTTGTGATGACACACTGCCACAGACAATGATAACTTCCCCACCTGCACAACTTCAGTGGTGACTTCTTGTTTGCTGAACCTGTAGATGATAACGTGGGCAGAAACCCCAGCCACACAGAGCATCCTGCTCTCAGGGCACCAGGACATGGTCTGGATGGCAAACGGGTCCTCCTCTACTATTTCTGTACTTGACTTATCCTCCTTACCGCGAGCCCTCTCAAAAACCTTGGCAGTCTTCAGCTTGTACAGCACTTGGAGCATTACTTTGAGAAGAGTGACAAAAGAAGACATAAAGATATGGTGATACTTGCCTTCAGTTCACTTCATGTTCATTTGATACACAGTAATTCCAGGCAGCATTAAGTGCACAATGATGCCACCTGGATTAGTTCTTGTGAATTATGCATAAACAAATTGGACACTAGAGTCTTGCTTCAAAGCTTACTGTGGCCATGACAATAGTAAGCTTTATCAATTGTGTCTAAATGCTAAAATATTTAAGGCAAAGTCTAGATAAAATTATTATCAATGCAATATACTCGATAATTGTGCATTTCATTCAAAACATAATTTAATAATATATGTATCCATGTATGGCAATCTTTGAATTGCATACTACAGCTGAGCTAATGAGGAATCTACATGTATATCGCGCTTCTAAATGTTTCATAGATGCAAACATTAGTGTCAAGTATGTTATATGCAAGTTTATTTGACTTGATGATATAGATGTGTGCATTATTACTGGGTTAATTGTACATATGTACGTTTTATAATTTGTGAATAGGACTTCTTATGGAAATTAGCTCTTGTAACTAAAGGTCCCAAAACTTGCATCATTATACATGGCTCCCTATAAATAAATTGAATAAAACAAACAAAACTACTCACATGCAGAGGCATCCCAGAATTTGATCGTCCCATCAGCATGTCTATTATTAAGGGGGTGGGGGCATTAAAAAAATAAAGAAACAAAAGAATATGAGATCAAGAACAATCAGTGAATCAAAATAACAAACTGATTCATTCATTAATTTTTCTGACTTACCCAGTGATTATGATCTCAGGGTAACTCTGAGTGCCTTGACCCCAGTTTCCTCCGCTAATGGGCCATTCCTGTGAAAAGGACACAACACATGTTAAAATGTAATGTAATGTTTTATGGGCTTCTTTTTATATATATATATATATAAAATAAAAAAAATAAAAAATCTATTCCAAAGTCGAATGCATTTTGAACAGATTACACATAGGAGCAATTTACCTTCTTGCTGTAACCTTGTCTCTTTTGCCGGCTGCCGACAGAGTAAAGTGCAGGAATAATTTCATCAGGGCAGTCAGCGAAGTACTCACAGCAGGTCACTGGTGACTCATGGATGGTCAGAGGATATGGATTCTCAAATATTGGGTACCTGTCAAGACAATGTGCCATAGGTTAGACTTGAAAACTAACTATATCTTCATAGTATCTGCACTTGTCTGAGATGCTTAAATCGAATGTTAAAGCAACCATTGCACTCTGAAACCCAAATATACAGTACACTTCAACCTGTGTTACTGCGGCTAGTGATAGTCAGCTGATAGCGAACTATGAGTTTCAAAACATCTGGAGTGAGTTAGTAGGAATTTGGAGTCACTACTGGGTGTTATAACACAATTGAGGACTGCATCTTCATCTATATCTATCTATCTATCTATCTATCTATCTATCTATCTAGGCAATAGCTATGGTATATGCTTATTATATCACAGTTAAAGGGCGTTGTTCGGCCCGACGCGAAACGGTTACCAAGTGTGGCAAAAAGAAAGTAGGCTAACAGACGCACTACAATTTGACATTTTGATTTCAATTTTACAATTTGATCAACAGACATTTCTGTATGAGTACGGCAAGCAGTGCGTAAAATAATAACACTTTAATATTACACTTACTATAAAGGGCGGAACTGCGTTTCTCCTTGAGCAATAGTCTTTATATCTGGGCTAAGTAGTGGACTGCTGCGTGTGTGTGTGTGTGTGTGTGTGTGTGTGTGTGTGTGTGTGTGTGCGTGCGTTTTCCTATGTGTGAAAGAGGGAAATGTTGAATCACGTAATAAGCAACGATTTATCTCTGTCTCTCTCATTATTTATTTATTTATCTCCGCCGTTAAAATGCGATCTGTATCAGATTGCATTTTAATACCAGGTGTAAATGGGGCGTAAGACACCCACAAAGGTCAGATTATAACTTGAACCCTGTTTGTCGCGGAGTGATACGGATCTGTGCTACCCGTTATATACGCTCATTATATCACTGCTATGAACAAATCAGACTGCTTGATTTGAGCTACCCGTTTTATAAATTTTATATATATATATACTGCCATAAAATAGTAAACAGAGGTGCAACATACCCCCAGAAAAAAGTAATAAAGATTGAAGTAAAACCTATAATGACTCACTGCAAAACCACTCCCTTTGGTAATTTATTACAACAACATAAGTGTCTGTGACAGCTCTTGGGTAGTCTATATATAAAGTCATTATACATTAGGAATTCATTAGTACAACTGCAGAGATGGATCATGAGTTTGTGTCCTTTTTCTTCTGTTCATTGATTTAAGTCTGAAAGGTTTGAATCACACATTCCTGACTAAAATAATAAATATAATTAAATAATTAGCAACATCTATCCCTTATATACTGTGTATTAATATAGTGTGCTTGATCTACAATCCCCATATTATTTGATTCACAGCAAAAATACAAAGGAGAATAATTACCCAATCTGTCCAAGGTCTATTACAACTAAATCCTTCTCGAGGAGGACCACCACAGCATAAGGCTCCTGAAAGTCTGGCAAAAAACAGCACAAAATTAACAAGGATAATGATGTAATTTCTGTGAGCGATAACGGATTCTGAAACAAATTAACATAACCTTTGGAGTGCTGCAGCTCACCATTTGGATATGGAGTTTCACACAGCGTTAGGAAATCTACAATTGGGTAGTCCATCTCCAGGACGGTGGTGCTCTTTCCATGCATCACAGTCAGGCAGGCTCTCCTCCCCACCGTATCGTATGACAGACCTCCAGAAAGGACCATGAATGGGTCCCTGTGTTCAGGAAAAACACACACACAAACATTTTAATTGCTTATGCAATAAATTTAAGCTTGTTGTGAAAAGCTACTAGGTCAAATCAGTTGGATGAGTGAAGAGGAAAACCAAAATTTTAATGTTGTGCTTCCTCTGGAGATACTGTGCCCCCATTTCAAGAGTATCAATGACTGGAGGAGCCTACTTTTTAATTATAATGACAACTATATTAATCCCTGTCCTCTAATACCTGAGAAAAAAAGTAAGGGATCATTAGATCAGCCTTAGTGAAACTGTAAATTTTTTATACGAAAGTTTTCTCTTTTTACTTTTTGACCTTCACGTAACAAGCTTGTTCTCTTCAGATAATGATAATTGTGTTAATACTCTTGCCAATTCTACTTAATCACAACATAATTAACATGTGACCTCACCGGATCAACAAATCATTTGGCATGATCAAAAATCATTTATCTAATGATCATAACAAAACAAAGCCTGTGAGAACACATAAATAATTAGACAGGGCCTTTCCAGCTTTCCACCTCATTTCCATCGGCAGTAGGACACTGTCAACAGGACTGGCCTGTTCGATATATGCTGTTGTAGATAGAATAACAGGAAAGGCCACTTTCAGTACAGGATATGGATTCAAACCAGAGTAGGTTAAGACACAGGATGGGTGGGGACTTGCTACCATTTTACTTACCCAGCCCTTGTTGTTTTGTATTCCACCTTCAGGATAGGCTTGCATGGTTCTGGCTTTTTTCCATCCTTAGGCTGCTTTCCTAGCAGAGGTCAAATGGCAAAAACGCATTTAAGTTTTAATTTGCAGAAGTACAGTACATAGTGTGCAAGTGCTCCTGTATACACATGGCCACACTGACACCATCCATCTGTTTTTGTACAAGTCAACCCTTTGAACTCCAACATATGCTTTTAACAGACATAGGAAGGGTTGTATGTGTCTCTGTGCTTTTGTGTGTGTGTAAACAATACAACTGTGTATACACAACAGTTCCTACCATGTGGTGTGATGATCTGTGTAGCCTTGGCTGGGACTCGTACATTCCATGTGGTCAGAGTGCCATCAGAGTGGCTGCAAACAAACTGTTTACCCTCATGGTGCCAGGCTACTGAGTGGATGGCCTGAAAGACACGCATCAAGAAATAAAGTACATGCTAATTTTGTAGCTGTGAAGATGTGTAGCAACTCTGCAGCAACTGTTTGTAAACTATTTAAAAGGATAAGGCTGGTTAAATTACATTTTTCTTATCGTCAGTGAATAACACGACAAGACCAAACTAGTATTTTAGTCTGTTTCTCAAAAGGCTCTGACTTCTTCAGTTTGGCACAGTAAAGTTAAGTTAGGGTCAACAGTGTTTTTGTTGGGGACTATTTTCAGATGCAGATTAATACACATTTGGTGCACTAGTATCTTTGGCAGCAGGACAGTGTATATGGGATTGGCTCAAAATAAAATGTATGGCTCAAGGATTGGCTCAAAATAAACAGTATGTGTGATAACCAAATATAGGAACATGTCATCCAGTACAACGGTATGGCTCACTGATGTGTTTAGTATAGTAATAGTTTTTGATCGCCAAATTTGTCATAATGTTGCATTGTCTCACTTCTTTTTATATACACAACTACCTAGTTAATAGTTTTATTTTTTTATATATTATATATATTAGGATATCATCCTAATTCCAGTCTGTATGAATGACATACAGTAGCTCCTTTATGTGATAATAAAGTCACCCAATATTGAAGCTCCTGAGATTTAATTCCTAAAGGTCCCAATGAGCAGCTGTTTCAGGTTTCATGAGAAAACATTTGAGAGCCACGGTTGGACAGATTATGCAAAACCTAACCTATGACCGAACAAGAGAAAACTGTGAACAAACTAACCAGTGCTCACAAGAACTGAGTGGAAAAGAAATAATGCCTTACCTCATCATAACTGTAGCGGTAGTCAGCTTTTTTGCACTTCAAATCCCATAACACGACTACCCCACATTCAAATCCAATCAGAAGCTGCAACAACAAGAGAAGCAAAGCACAGCTCAGCTGATGGCTGTGAAACCAAATTCTGCACATATATCTTAGCCTGGCGTTAATCAGGACTGTCTGTGTTCAAAGGACGTTTGTGTCTGTGTTCAATCATTTCCCAGGACTTTATCTTAAAAGTCATTTGGTGCTAATTATAGCAAAAATATGCACTTTTTTAACACATAGTAAGTATTAACTGATTTAATGACTTACTATGTGTAACAAAGATTCTATCATATTTGTATAATTGTGCCATTTTTACACAGTAGTTGATTTCCACAGGAATTTCCTTAAAATGACTATTTAAATCTTAATGACCAGAAAACTCCAACTGATTCAAGTAACATTCATTAAAACCCAATTAAATATCAATTACATTAATTAACACAATTTTTCTTTTTTTTTTTGGATTGTATGCTTCCCTGTGGATTTTTTTTCACATAATTATTAAGAATTCACATTAACATGGGCTGTTACATTAAAGTGTTTCCTGGTACATCAACAATACAAGAACCTAAAATCACACCATTATTATAATTCTTAGATTATTTTTATAGCATTTTCAGTGTTATTGCATACATGATAGTAAAAGGGCAGACCCCATTCTTAAACCATTATTGATGAATAAATACTTAAATGCACAATATAAACAATTTAATATCTTACGAAAACAATTTAACTTAATAACTTAAAAACCTTCTAATAAGCAGCTGTTATTGATCAAAGAGAGGTGTATAGACATACATTAGTCAAATATCTTGAACACTATTAGGGCGTGCATATGGTTATGACCACATCCCTCAGTTGAGACTTAACAGCTGCAATGCATTCTAGTCTATTTAAGCCACTGTTGCTTCTCCTTCTGCCATGATTTTCTCTATGTAACATTGTGAAAGGTTTCTGTAAACAATTAGTCTAAAAGAAACTTTTTCTCTTTTATTTTGACACCAAAATCTGAGGTTCACCATCGACATTTTAATTAGTTGAAAATGTTCCGCTATAATTCTCCATTGTAGCTACAAAAGCCGCCTGCGCAGCAGAGCAGTTATCCACAGAAAAAAAGAAAAGTACACTAACAAAGATTCCATCACAAATTTTTTTACAGTTTTGTTTTAAGGTAGAACACGTGTCTTAGTTGATCACTACAATGCCTGTGGAACAATCAGTTACCTTTCCTTCATCCATGGGGTTATCACTGATGTGCACGACAGGCCCCGGGTGAGTCTTGGTGGATCTGTGCATGTTTTAGGGAAAGAACATAAACATGAAGACACAGGGAGAGTGTGTGTAAATTCAATATTCAGTAATATTTGTGATCTGCAGACTGGCATGATGCTTGATGTGTAAAAGGTATCTGATAAATAGGGCTGGGCGATATGACCAAAAATGTTATCACAATAAAAAAATGTATTTCATTCGATATCAATAATTATCACGATAAATGTCAAATCATTATCTCTTTCAAGTTTTTAAGGCTGCTTTTTGCTCCGAAGTGAAAGTTGAAGAAACCAGATGGTAATTGTGGTTTTAAACTATTCTTTATCGTCAGAACAGGTCCTCCGCCGTCAGGGCCTCTATTTTTTTTTACTGCTATGCCGATGACACTCAACTTTACCTCTCATCCAAACACATCACCCAAGCCACCCACACCACCCTGTCTCACCGACTTAAAGTCTTGGATGCAACAGAACTTCCTATAACTCAACTGCAATAAATCTGAAATCCTCATCATCGGCCCCAAAACCCTGACCCGCTCCACCCAGACCTTTTAACTCAAAAATGAAATCGATGGCTCCATTGTCACCCCCTCCACCCAGGTCCGCAAACTTCCAATCATCTTTGACCCCACCCTCTCCTTCTTGCCCCATGTCAACCAGGTCACAAAAATTCTTCCACCTCAAGAACATCGCCCGCCTCCGGCACTAGTGGCCCTTTTCGACTGAAGAAGTATTCATCCATGCCCTCATCTCTTCCAGACTCGACTACTGCAACAGCATCCTCTATGGTTCACCAAACAAAATCCTCAGTAAACTTCAAACGTCCAGAACTCTGCTGCCCGCATGCTCACTTCCTCCTGTCGACAGATCACATCACCCCTGTCCCTCACAACCTCAAATGGCTCCCAGTTAAATACAGGATCCACTTTAAACTTCTACTAATCACCTACAAAGCCTTAAACTACCTGGCTCCTCCCTACCTCTCCAACCTCCTCCCCCCGCCACACCTCCACATGTCACCTTCTGCGGACACAACAACACTTAATAACCTGTGAAGTATCTTTGAATAATTATTATTATTAGAGAACATGACAAACACTTGCCAAACAGAGGATGACTTAACATATCTGGGGTAGAACATTCAAAACAATTGTAATAAAATCTTTTTTTAAAACAAATATGCATGAATTAAATTAAGTAAAATCTTTTTTTCTGTATCTTTTCCTCAACAAAATAACTTAATCTTAATAGAAAAATTAAATGCTGATTTGTTTGATTTCCTTAATTTGAATAACAAACATTTACTGAACATTTATTAAACATTTGTTATATTGTTATTGAGGATTATATTGCGATAATTATTGTTATTGTTTTATTGCCCAGGCCCACTGATAGATGTTATCAAAAATAGATATGGAGGCAATTAGGGAAGACATGCAAAAGGATCAAAGCCAGAAATCTTTTCTTGTGCACAAAGAAAAGGAGCAAGCCTAAAAGATAAAAATGTGAATCAGTGCACCAGAGAGATGCATGACATATGAGAGAGATAAGTAGATAGAGAGGGAGAGCAGGGTCACATGAGGGTCTAAGAGAGATTATAGCATGTGGAGATAGCATCACCGTGGCAACAGAGCAAGGGGCATGGAGGACGTAAAGGTCTGGCCTAAAGAAAGTGTTGCTGCCTCTGAATGTGGTCTGGCTCCAGCGGCTAATGATCTCATTGCTGCTGATGAGTCGATATAGTCAAGAGATGTAGCGGTGAATAAAAGGCAGGGATGGACTGGAATATGAACTCCAGACGGTAATCACGACATGACAATCAATATATGGTAACATGATTAATATATGTATGAACACAGTATGTCTCAAAAAACATTATTTTCATGTAATTTAGTTTCTTCCACATAGATTTTAACTGACTACAATAATGAGTTTAAGTGGGCTGACTTTCCACCACAACACTAAATATGATCATTAACTTCACAGGCTGTTTCTGTCCACTGCAGGAGACCTAGAATGTGAATTCACAAACAAACTACAGAGCAGAAAGTGTGTTGAAAATACTTCTCTATCAGAGATCGGAGAACTCTTTCACAAAGAAATGACTGAATATTGTGTTTTTAAATTTCACACTACAGCCGAGGGCTCTTTTCTTCAATCATTTTCACTGACAGCCAAAATCATTCCCCAATCTCCACTGTCCGTTTCTGAGACATTTATCTGAGCTGATGGCATACTTTGGTGTTCTGACACTTTCAATTCCCAGATCTAAAACAGCAATTTATCAGATTTCACCAGCGGCCACACACACACACACACACACACACACACACACACACACACACACACACACACACACACACACAACACACACCTCTTTATACTCTGCTGCCAACATTAGCTGCCAGTCACTGTCATGAACCAATTCTTTTTTAGCTCTATGGTGGGTGCGCTAGAAAAATTACCTGGTAGAGCTATTAATTTTCAGTGCCATTTTTTGCACAGAATCAGACACTGCAATACTGTTAGAAAGATGACATTTGAAAGTTACTAGTCAGTGTGTTGGGTGGCACTGATTTTATCCACCAAAGTCGAATTCTACCTGCCAAGATATATTTTGAACCCTGCAGGAATTGCAGCACAACATTCACCAATGCACAGGATGTGATGTAAAATTCCTTGTGATCCTCACAGTGGGTGTTTACACGGGGGAGTGGGTGACACAGGATAAGTCACTGGGGTTATCAAGTGGGCACTTCCCATCACAGATGTTACGTTAAATCAGGCAGCGAACACCTCCAGAAGTCTCAACATCAAGTTCTGGCATGACACACTCACCACCTCCATGCCGCCCTCACATTGATCAGAGCTACAGTTTTCTCAGCTTCCTGCACACACTTTTTTGCCAAACACATTCCTTTCCACATTTCATAGTTTCCTGGTTGAGTGTCAACTCACACAAGTGCAAAAAGAAGGAGAAAAAAAAAAAAACAACACTTGCAAAATACAGACTCACAGTTCGATGGCTTTGTTCCACATGATGACATAGCCTGAGAGAGTGAAGGACTCCACGTTGACAATGTGGATGTTTCCTCTTTCTGTGCCAACGTAAAGCCATTTGCTCTGGAAGGGCAGGTGGCAGTATGTGATTCTGAGGAGGAGATCAGGAGATAAGGATCCATCACAGACAAGCTTTTCATTATCGCATGACTCAATCTCATCAAAGAGTCACCCTTATCCCTAATCATGCTGCTCTAACTGGAAGGAGTAGCGAGTGACTAAGATTTAATTACAAAGGCCTTGCTCTGTGTCCCCCTAATGAAGCCACACTATATATAGAGCAGCAGGGAGGAACAACAGAATACACACTGCTGTCTTTTCTCAACTGGTAGGACGAATCAATCAGCCATACACATTTACAATGTCAAATGGACAGGGCTGATGTTAACTGCTTAGTGTATTTGACGGTTTATCGGTCCACACATTATATGTGATGCCTCAGCTGATATTTATGTGATTTTGATTTAACATTTCACTAAACTTGTGATGGCAAATGTATTTTTGCGTTGTCTTTCAATATAACGCAAAAATGATCACCCAATTAAAGTTGCATTAATTGTTGTTGGCCACATGGGGCAGAGAAACCAACTGAAAACAACATCTGACATAAGATCACCTTAAAAAGTTGCTGTGAATAATGTAAACAACCTAAGCATTCATTTAAAGCCATATTTCCGGCCACTTGATGAATGAGAGTCCAATATTCAATGTCCTTTTAGCTGTGTTTTGGTCTCTCCCAACTAAAGAAAAAAAAAAAAAAAAAAAAAGATATAGCGTAGCTAGTTTGCTAACTTTCTGCATTTTTTTTCTTAACCTTTTTTGCTCATTTTTTTTTATTGTTTTCTTTTTGAATAAGGGCGAAAGGTTAAAAAGAGAAAGGTTAAAACACTCTGTAAAGCTGAAGGCAACTGCAGGTTTAGGTAATAATTATCTGTGGGTTAGTCATGACAAGTGCCACCTTTTACATGTAGTGTGATTTAATTTGAATCATTGTTAATGTAAAAAATATCGATTTGTTTGACTTTAAAGTCTAACATTTCAAACATCGTAAAAAACCCTAACTATTAAACCACCTGGTACTGACTGGCCCAAAAGGTATCTGTGCAACCTGTGTGAGGGCTTACATGTTCACTTATCAGATTTTAGAAAAGGAAATGGACTACAAATGATGGTACGTGGACAGATGAGTATAAAACTTTCACAGCAGATAGACAGATAAAATTCCTAAAATTGTAATATCATGGTCATCTGCTAGAAGGCACTAGTATTTTACCTTGACTTCATTAATTCACTTTGCCTGTTTGGTTAAAGAGGAAAACCAAAGTACCAACACTAGTGTATTCTGTATACGCTGATAATTAAAAATTAAAAAAGCTGTGAGGACTGTTTCCAAATTTTTCTCACACGTCACAGAGAGACAGATGCACCAGCACTGCAAACAGAGAAGCAGAAAGAAGATGTTACTGTACCTCTCCCTGCTGAACTTGAGAGAATGCAGGATAGCGGGGATTTTTTGCCTCAGGTTCCACAGGTGGATACTGTCATCAGCTAACGCACTCACCAGCGCCCCCTGTGGCAAGGGTCAGAAACAAATGGGTTGTCAGAACACCTTGTGGCTTGGTTTGGGCTGTTTATCATGGCTGTATCGTAAGCGCACAACTATGACGGCATTATACAGGCATGCTGGTCACTAAAGTAGCATTACTGTTTAATCAATGAGTTTAATAACAGCACAGTTCACACAACTGAAAGTGATCCATGGCCCATAAACACTGAATAAGTACCAGTGTCTGTGGTACCTGCTAGTAAGAAGGTGGATAGCCTGATTCAGGAGACAGTGGACAGACTTGGAGTGAAGGTGAGGAGGAGCAGAAGGAGAGGTAAACCAAACAAGGAAACAATGAACGGGTAAGGAGAACAAACCTCGTTGATCAGGAACTGGAGCTGGATGACAGCAGCACCGCTCTCATGCTGACAGTAGCACTCCACGCCCGCACGGCCAAAGCTAAAAGTCAGCTCAGTCAAAGAAATCTTAACAGTTGCCAGTGAAGTTCATGCAGAAATGTGGGGAAAACATAATGTAGATTTTCTGATACAGCACTGCTAAACAATGCGTGTCTGAATGAGTTCTTATGGATCACTTTCTAAAATGATTTGCAGCCTACTCCAATTTCCCAAAATCTTCATTTTTATAAATGTAAGATGGCATTTTCAGTTTGCATTCCTTAACAGGCACTGGCAAGAACAAGAAAAAAATCAAACTAGTGAGTTATAAATAAAATCAGTGGGCCCTGTCTGCCTTATTTATTCACTTGCGTCAGACAGTATCACAGCAACATAATTAACTTCACCCATACCTCTCTCTATTGGACTGTTGACTTCAGGTCAGAGAATCCCAGCCTGCTAAATCTGTCCATTCAAAAACAACCGGGGCCAAGCATTCGGCACACAGTATGCGTGTGATCTCGGGCCTCAATTTGCACTGTGTCTAAAACAGAAGCTAAAATGATTGCATGTATGGCAGGAATCAGGACTGTAATGAAATGAGGAGCATCATGAGGATAAGCTTGTCTGTTTCATCCAGCCTTTAATCACACTCACAGGCAGATAGTATGTGCACCAATTGTGCAAACCAGCACAAAAGAAGAAGGAAGCAGCACGATATCTAATCGCTGAGAAAATCTTCAGACAGAAGAACTGGTCGCAAAGACAAAAAGGTGCACTGCTTCTCATACTCATACTGCGAAAACGCCAAAGAAAAGCTCCAAAAGACAGACAACTGTGTTAACTATATGAGTCAATTTTGAGCTGACACAGCATCAGATGTCTGAACAGGATGAACCAAGCTGTGATCAAACAATCTTTTAGTGCCTTAAACAAACTAAGGTGGGGCTGCAAGAGACCATTTCAGGACAGGATCAACAGTGGGCATCCCTTCTGCAGAAGGATGGAGGCAAACGCAGACTTCCAGACTTTAAGCTGGCGCCAGTCGAAGGCTGTTGGCAACTGAACTCACATTCACCTGTGAACTTTCTATCCAGTTTTAGCTCCTGGACCCCAAAGTTCTGTACAACATTTGTCGGAATTTTTAATGGATATCATGTCTTCACAGGTCCACAATGGAGGAGGAAGAGCCATTAAATCTGTTTCATAGCCTCTGGTCGTGCATAAATGAGAACAGAGCAGCAGTCTAAAGAGCAAAAATGTTAATATGTAACACTGTTGTGTATTCATATCGCTCCCATCAAGGAGGATCACTTCAACACCTGTTACCTTGTAACAGGTCCTATTAACAACGTCCTGTTACTGCCCATTTGTTTTTCTGTGTGCGTTAACTCAGCATATGTAAACGTACAGGTGTCTAGAGTCTAAACTGATTCTGATGGAATGTAGGTTAATGGCGCTGCTGAGCCAAGCTGCTTTATATGCTAGCAGGAAATTACTAAGATGAACCTCAAAACAAGTTTTTATCTCTGTGGCGAGCAAGTAGGTCACTCTATTGTTACTTCCTTCGCCGCTTCATGATCAAAAACATTTACGGTGTCATGTTAGCCATAGGTACAAACTATGCTATTTATACTAATTTGTTTCAGTAGGACATATGCTTCTAGGACTGTATGACCACTGGAAGCCAGAGTCACACTATTGAACTGTGACTTTGCATGTAACAAAATATCTTGCTGTAAGGGGAAGAGAAAGTTGCTGTCACATCTTTTGGTCATGAGACAAGATTCAAGTGATATACAGTATTTTCAAACAGCCAAAACAAACAATATGAATATGTCAACTTGCGGAAATTTTGGGTTGGCCATTTTTCAAACAATGAATCTAGATAACAATCAGCCAATTAATAAAAAATTAAAATAGCCTTCTGTTGTAGCCCTAAAATCAATGTGTCAGATGCAATATTTATCATCTATTTAAATTACTATTTACTGCCTACTGAGTTTTTCATAACAGAGAAAAATAACTGTGTTAAACTTTAAAATCGTATCAGAAACAGATACTGAACAGCCTTTATGAGGATCTCTACTTTCAGCTTGAGAGTTTAACACATCACAAACTGAAGTCACTCACCCTGAACACTTCCCCGTTCGGTAAACCAACGTGGTTTACCGCAGCATTTCAACATCACAGAGTTTTCTTGTATAGTCAACTGATAGACATCATGACAGGAAATCTTAATCATCCTAGCTGACAAATGAAAAAGTGAAAATGTCCTTTGCAGCCCTTCTTAAAGTCAAGGTTAAAGTGTTGTTCATGCCTAAAGAAGAGGAAGCTACAGGCTAGCGGGTTGGTCATAATAACGGTATTTCTGCAATGGAAGCTCATCAAAACAAAGGACTGTCTACAGTAACACAGTGATTAAAACACTGTAGACATTTATTGCTTGTAGACACCTCATTGAGCTTATGTCTACTGAGCTGTGGCAGCGTTTCCAAACTCCGGGGGCAATGAGGTGGATCGATACAGCCTGTCTTTTGATAAATGGACCTATTGCCTGAATGACAGTAATCCCATCAGCTCCACCTTGCACATTAGGACAACAAGCAGTGTGTGTTCTCCGGGAGTTGCCCTGTAAACACCAATGCTCTCTTAATCTGGAGAGTGGTTAAAGACAAGGCTGAAAATCTACATAAAAGCAGACGGGCCTCCCAAGCAGGATATCAGCCCAAAGGAAAACCCTGTGTTTATACGCTCATAGTACTAATACACCCTGGATGTGACCGGACTATCATATGCAGTGTTTAACAGCCTGGAATCCAGAGGCAGTTTTGTTGCTGTTGCTTGCTCATGGAAGTTGCTTCATTAGCTGTAAAAACAAAATTTCTATCCTTGAATACAAACAAATACAAAACTGGCTCCCAACTGCCAGAGGGGCCACACAGCACGGTAGCAGCTTGATTGTGTGTGTGTGTGTGTGTCGTGCAAGTCCAGTGATGTTTACAGCACATATGAGGTGGCACCGACTGGGTAGCACAGTTGATGCAGTAGGCTGCTCGGCATATGGCAGAGGAGGTGTTCATGCTACTGCAGGGATACCACTAATGAGCCTGGTGCTCCAGGAGAAGGAGGCTGCTGGAAGCACAGAAACATATCCTAGCTAGCATCCACCTCTGAGCCCTGCACTTGCTGTTGTGTGTTTTGAATTTTATTTTTGTTGAGCTGCACGACAGGAGGCAAAGACAGGTCACTTATTTCATGAATCCCCCAGACTTTGCTGAATGCTGAAGGGCAACTTGGTCATATGGCATTTGCAGAAAGGATGTCAGGAAGTCACATCAAGTCAATTTAGACATGAGTTTGGTGTGTGTGTGTGTGTGTGTGTGTGTGTGTGTGTGTGTGTGTGTGTGTATTGAAAAAACACTGGAATCATCCAAGCTTTACTTTCCTTGTGTGGCTCTCTTCACTTTCCTGTGATAAAAAAAAAAGAAAAAAAAAAGGATACAGCCTCAAAGCTCCTGTCTGAGTCCCAACGGCCAAGATTTTCTGCACTGGGTCAAAAGCCATTGAGGAAGGATGATGTGGGAAGCCATGACGCACAGTCTGCGGGAAAGAGCAGAATTTATATTAGACCTCCAGTCAGCTAATCAATCATCTGCTTCACAGTCAAGCTGGCATTACTGGAGAAAAACATTATCATAATCTCCCAGAAATGTTATCCATCAATGTGGAAAAATTTGTTTTATTCTTAAAATAAATTGGATAAAGCATAAACATTAGTGCAAATGGGGACTGGAATATTTTTCTGATATCAGCCTGACATGTGTGCAGGCTCAATCCTGTAAAACATGAGTAATAAATTAATTTTATCCATCCTCAGGCTCACATATTCAGCCTTGGAGTGCACTTCATTGCCAGGATCGTGCAGACCCCCAGCCACCAAAATGTTATCATCATCATTATCATGAGGCATCTATAACTCAATTGTTTCTGGTTGGAAACCGTGCCCAGCCATCCACAAGCTCTGTGCAGCTTACAGCAGCATTACGTAATAGGTAATGCCATGGCCCCGTAACCTGGGGACCTGACCTGTTCTGCTCTCAGCTGGGGCAGAAGCTGGTGGGCTGGCTCTCCAAGATGTGCAACACGTTTCACACAGGCGAAACCTTTTCAGCCAGGCCTAAACAGGCTAGATTATTAAATTATACATACATGATTAAAAATTAGTTTGGGGAAATCATGTGCGCTGACCAGTGAGGCTGGGATTTAAAGGAGAGGTTCACATTTTTTCAAACTCTGTTTTTAAAACACTGCTCACATGCTCACTGAAAGGGCTGGTTGCTGTAATACGTCCTCATATCTATACTGGCCCTCAAGAGATGCTATTTTGTGATAGGGAACAACTCCAGTCCTGTTCAGCGTAAAAACACAAATGTTTTTCTGAAATAACACGAGGTTTCAGCAGCTTTAGTTAGACAAATCAAGCAGGTATATACCAAAGTTACATTAAGTTTTAATAAGTAGCGAGGAACCATTGTATCCATTAACCAGTAGCTATTTTATACTAAAAACACTGTAGCATTGAAATATAGAAGATAGACGTTGTCAGACCGAACAGCTTCAGCTGAAGGAAATGCATTTTGTTACACATAAGGAGGATCTTAAACTTCTTATCTAAGAAGGGATCTCTTCATGTCCAGTAGGGAGTTTTTACAGCAAGTACTTTAAATGTATATATGGGCATGTGAGTGCTGTATTTAAATCAACTTGAATCTATACTTTAACTCAAAATGATCTTCCTTTCTTAGTCAATCTGCAGGCAGCCGATTAGGTCTAACTTGCAGTAATGGTGAAAAACAGTGACTTGAGGCGATAATTCAGTACAGTGCAAACAGCCATGTTGCTATGCACAGCCAAGCAAAGCAGTCAATAATAAATATTAATTCCCTGTTAATGTCTCAACAGTTACAACTTGTACTTTAATATCTTCACTGCGTTGTTGGTTTTGCTCTAAGTGCTCAGCGCGTGCACTCATTTCATTATTGCTGACAAGAGATTAAAACAACACCAGTGTCTAGTCACGCCGCTATCATCTGACTGTCACTGTGCAAAACCAGTCCGTCAATGTCAGCTGCTATGAACGGAAACCCACCTTGCAAAGCTGGAAATGCTCCGACTGGAGAGTCTCCTGGATAACATCGGTTTCCCTGGGAGTTCCTGGCTGAGCAGTTGCGGAGGAGGAAGAAGAAGCCGCTGTCAAGCCGTCCAGCACCTTTCTAATGTTAAACTTCTTCATTTTCCTCCTGTACGGACGCGACGGTTCTGAAAACAGATCAAGCGAACTACCATAAATTGGATAGAGGGGGTAGCTGCTAGCTAGTTAGCCGAGAAATAACGCACAGTTAATATCTTTCTGTATACATCTCACATGTTACGGAGGGTGTTACCAGCGCACTCTCCTAAAGCACCCAAATCACGAACATTGATTTAGAGAGTCCTTTCCGATATCAGTGTTAATCCGCCATTTATGTGGCCAGCTTTGGCGTTGTTCGATCGGGAGCAATCGTTTCCGTGAGCTGTCTCACCAGCCAGAGCTCAGCGGGTAGCGACACTGGCTACGGAAACGCAGCGAGCTGCAGCGGGGATTGAGCGTGCGCACTGCGGTCACCCGGATGCTGGGCGGTGTTACAGTGTTTTCTGTGACCCGTCGGATTCTGTGACCTCGATGAGAATTTCAGCTAACAAACGTTTTAACCACACGTTTACTCTGTTTTATAGCGGTGGAATGTAACTAAGTACTTAAGTACTGTATTTGAGAGGCCTGTTTACTTGAATACTTTACCTGAGTATTTCCATTTGTTGGTGGTTTAGCTAGCCTACTTACTTCAGAGGAAAATATTGTAGGCTACTTTTTTACTACACTAGGTCTACATTTATTTGACACGTATAGGTACTGGTATCTTATATATATATATGATGTGCAATATGATATGTTTCAGTACTACTGCTAAGCTACTGGTAGGCCAGTACACAAAAACTGGCTCCACATTGACGAACAAGTAAGTAAGATCAGAGATGTTAGGACAAACATCTCACCATCACTTACTCAGAACTCTGCATGTGACCTGTCTTCTGCTAATTCTTGGTCGTATTTTAAACCTGTGACATTACAGGACATCACCTCTCTGCTACATAGCCTACATTGAAACCCTCATATTGTCCTATGGATGTTCTCCCTACTGTGCTATTTGTACAAGCGTTTGATTCTATTGGCCCCTGTATTGTGTAGCATAGACTGTATTGTGGAGATGATTAATACTTCACTTTTAACTGGAGTCGTTCCTTGTTTTTTTAAACATGCTGTTGTTAAGCCTGTACTTAAAAAGCCCCGCTTGGATCCATTACAACCTTAGAGCTACAGGCCGATATCCAAACTTCCATTCATGTCAAAAATTCTAGAAAACGTTGTAGCAGAGCAACTTACCCTTTTCTTAGAGAATCACAAGACAAATTCCAGTCTGGTTTCCGTAAAATGCATTCCACAGAAACTGCATTACTGAAAGTTTCTAGTGACATTCTGATGTCAGCTGACTCTAAGGAATACACAGTTTTTGTTCTCTTGGACCTTTCATCTGCTTTTGATACTGTTGATCAAAATATTATGATAAATAGACTCCATGATCTGGTTGGGATGTCTGGATCAGTTTTAAACCTACCTTTCTGGTAGAAGTTTTAGTGTTTATGTAAATCAGATCATGTCTGAAACTGCAGGACTGTCGTGTGGGGTACCTCAGGATTCTGTCTTGGGACCCATCCTGTTCCTTTTGTGTATATTTCCTCTGGGACAGATAATTAGTCAATTCAGTGACATATCTTACCATCTATATTCAGATGATATTCAACTGTACTGCTCGTTTAGGAGTTCCATAAATTGTCTTCTTTAACTAACTGCTTGACCAGTATTAAACAGTGGTTATGTGACAACTTCCTGTTTCTGAACTCAGAGAAAACAGAACCACTAATTATCGCCCCTGAAAGTAGAATCCCTCAGATTAAACAGCATATTGTTAACTTAGACTCATCTGTCCAGCCGAGCCTCAGGAGCTTAGGTGTTGTTTTTGATTCAGCAATGTCCTTGGAGTACCACTCTAAACAACTAGTCAGAAACTGTTTCTTCCAACTAAGGAATATTTCCAAATTAAGAACACTGGTGTCAAAGGGTGAGTTCGAGATGATTATTCATGCTTTTTATTTCCTCTTGTTTAGATTGCTGTAACAGTCTTTTTACTTGTTTTAGCAAGAAGGAGCTTTACCGTCTTCAGGCTGTTCAGAACTCTGCTGAAAGGCTTTTAACTCACATTAACATAAGAGCACATATTACACCTGTTTTAGCAGCACTTCACTGGTTACCAGTCCAGTATAGAATTCAGTTTAAAATCCTGGTCCTTACTTTTAGAGCCCTGCACGGTGAAGTTCCTCCCTACATCTCTGAGTTGATACAGCTTCATACTCCGACCTGTAGTTTGAGGTCATCAGGTCAGAGGTTGTTAGTGGTTCCCTACACTCATTTTAAAACCAGAGGGGATCGTTCATTCCAAGCAGTGGCCCCTAGGCTGTGGAATGCTTTGCCTTCCTTTCTACATTGTATGAATTCTGTCGATTCTTTTAAAAAGCAACTGAAGACTCTACTATTCAAGCAGGCTTTTAGTTAGACGTGGGTTTTTTTTTAAATGGTTTTTATGGTTTTGTTTCTATGTTTTCCATCTATATTTAAATTTTCTTATACATTGTATTTTACTTTGTTGTATTGTATTACATTTTACTGTGAAGCACTTTGTGATTTTTATCTGTGAAAGGTGCTATACAAATAAACTTTACTTACTTACTACTAACTTACATTAAAATGCTTTTACATTAAATCAGATTTTAATTACAGTGCAAAATCACCATGCAGCATGCTCCCAATACGCTTTCTAAGGACTAGGCTACACAGGATAAAATACAGAAGACACAAGATAAAACACAAAAGGGTAAAAACAGTAAGAAAATAAATGATAAACAAGAAGATAAGACAGCTACATTTAAAAACATCAAATTAAGGGGATTTTAAAAAGTGCTAGACCCAACACAAATTCTAGGGGAGGCTGTAGTGACGTGAGTACAGGTAGGTTTTCAGTCTTGACTTAAAGACTTCCACTAAACGTGCTTCCCTAACATCTAATGGAAGGTCATTCCATAAATAGGGAGCACGGTATGCAAAAGCTCTGTAGCCAATAGATTTTTTGTTAAACATAGGTATGACCAGGAGACCAGCATTGAGAAAACGAAGAAGCCGAAGGAAGAACGAAGGAGTGGCGTAATTAGCTTAGCTAGGTAGGATGTTACAAGTCCAAGAAACCTTTTTGTTGTATGTGTTTGTTAGTGATACAAACAGAATAATATAATATTCTATAATAATATAACACTGATATTAGCTATTATGCATAATAAGTACTTTAATTTTGATCCTTTCATTACATTTTGTTGATCAAAACATGCTATAGATGTTGTTTGGAACCACTAAAATTGTGCATTTAAATTGTGCATAATCCTCTTCACTAAAGCACTTTCCCACAGAAATTTGATTGGGGGGATATTCCTTTTGTTAATGGTAAGATCCCAATTCAGGATCCATTCTCTTGTGTGTGCGTGGAAAATAGGACATATTTCCTCCTTCCACTTGTTCCCCAAGGAGGAAAAATGAGGTTGTTTTACCTCCACAGAGAATTAGAAAACTGAAAATCTGGAAAGATGAAGACCTGGTTAATCATCAACTTTATGATCTGTCATTTTCAAGGCCCATATTTTTACTGACTGACATGTCTTTACTCATTTTGAAATTTAGATGGAATATTAATATTCTTTATATATGGAATTAACTCCTTAAATAATACATCAGAAACAGTCATATAGGAGGATACGTGAGATAATTTGCTGGTTAATCCCATCAGTGTTTTATGAAACCACATGTCATTGAGAATATTAGACATTATTTACCCTATGAGAGTTTGGATTCCACATAGATCAATGATTTAAAAGGTGAACAAATGCAGGATTTTTTTTTAATTTGTAAAATGTTTTCGGATGACTTACAACGCTAATAAAATTAACTGATCAACAACAAAAACTACAACTTTTTTATTATCTCAAACCGCAGAAGTACCAGAACTCTCGTTATTTTTCAATGCATTGTATTTTTTTTTATGAACATACATCTTGTTTCGCTTTATTCCAGTTTTCCTCACTTTTTGTCTTTATTGTGGACGTATACCACACACACACACACACACACACACACACACACACACACACACACACACACATACATATATCTAAAAATATTTATATATATACATAAATCAAATATAAGGAAATAAGTGGATAGAAGTTTTTTTAGCAGCTAGTAAAATCCTTTTTAGGATTGATGGGGCTCTCCTCCTGACCTCAGTATTTCTTAAATTCTATAGCTCTGATAAGGTTTATGGTATATCAGGATTTAGGTTAATTATATTTTGCCTCTGTTTAATGTTTCTGAAAAAAAAGCCAAATTTTTTCAAATTCTTGAGGTTTCCCTTTGATATCATCATATAATGTTTGAGCACTTAATCTACCATTGTTGGTAAGAACCGATCAGTAAACAGAGGTAAAAGTAACTATGTATAAATTTACTTATAGAAATCTGTACATGAGTACAATTTTGAAGTACTTGTACTTACTTCAGTATTTCCAATTTATTCTATACTATACTTCTACTAATTTCACACTACATTTAACAGCTGCTGTTACTTAGGATACAATACCATATGACACTACCAAAACTTTTCTAAAGCAGTTAGCTCCACCTCAATCAGCTCCATTGTTAAAATGCTGCTTACATGTTAATACATTATATATATAATATTTTATACTTTGATTGGAGCCCCCCTATTAGAAGTCAGGGAAAAAAAGGTAATTCCCCCAACCCTAACCACTTGTAAACAGAGTGAATTCTTATCAGTCGTTAACAACATTGGGGAGTAGCATATAAAAAAGGATCCCAGTTGAAATAAAACAAATGATTAATGTCAGTACGATAGCCTTAGGAAAGTCTTTTTATTTCCCTACACAAATCATGTTCATTCAACTTAGTTCATCTCCCCTCCCATATTTACCACTGCCTTACACAGTTGATTGCAGTTGTCTTTCCTCGACTGCATTGCACATGCATGTTTTTTACCCTAGATGGCATAGTTTACAAACATTCTACCATCCTGCATCTGAAAGAATTTTGTTGTGGTTTAGGGCTCTTCTTACGGACAGATTTTAGCACCATGGACAGCAATTCCTGCCCCTGATGGGTTGCCTTGATGGTACTGTTTTTAATAACTATAGGTTAATTACATTCTGGAATTTTTGCACACACAAAATTTGCCATTTTGAGAGCGACTCAGGCATTTGAATGAGTTGGTTTAACATACAGAATGTGCAGTGAAATGCCAATCTGGTATTTATCTATGCTTTCCACAGACAGGCAATACTTAATTAACGTAGGCCTTCATAAATCGTGTCACTCACGACACAATAAGAGAAAACAGTCAAACAGTCAGCAGGAATACATCCACTGCTTCACTCTTCGTCAACCTGTTCACAAGTTTGACTAACTTGAAATTTTCATGCAATCATGAATATATGAACGAAGCTGCCAGTGAAAATGCACACTGGAAGGCAGATAAAATAGGGCAATATCAATAATGCACAAGTTATGGGATCTGTTACAGAGAGTGCGACTCCTATTCAGACTGTCATATTTATAAACAACAAGTTAAAAGGTCTGAGCTTTTGTGTCCAATGTGAAAAAGTATTGGGGCCAGCATCCCTGTTTGACTCCTGAATTCAGGTCTCTAGTATCTGGGACATATATCCATAATTAGCAGTTGTGTTTTACTTCTTCCCTCACTTTCCCTCAGGCACAATTGCCACATGAGGTAAACTACCTTCCTGGCTTTTATGTTGCAACTCACTTGATCAGCAATGTTTATAAATGCTGGTACAATAAAGCAGTGTGAGGTTTTACACGTAGACTATTCCGAGTTTATATAAAAAAAAAACGTGTACATGAAATACCTGAATATAGCCTGAATTTGGACAAAAGCAAACCGTCTATAGGTAACTGGCAGCAGGATGTAGAACAGTTCCCTAGATGCACAGCAAGGACACCGAAAAGTAAAACTGCAGGACAGCAAAGGACAGATTGGTGTGCAAAAATAACCTGTGTAATACACAACATTTCAGTGAACTCTCTCTTTGGCTTAATAATATATCAAGTAAATCAAGTAAGAGCATTAAAAACATTTCAGAATCAATATTTATTTGATTCACACTGTATAAAATTAGGATTTTAGCAATGTAATAAAAATCAAAAGTACTTTGCAAGGAAAGGGCCCTTGTGGAAAAGTCAAAGTAAACTATAACATGGCAGTATCAAAGACTTGAACTGAATACAATATATTGGAGAATGCAGAAGTGGAGAATGGTTCTCTTTACTACAATTCAGAGGTAAATATTGTGCTTTTGTACTCCACTGCAGCAGCTACAGTATATTACTGTATAGAGCCTTGTTATTTTGGAGATTAAGATTGCTCATATTCAAAGCCTGTGATAATCTTATAAGATATCATGCATTATTGTGACAGTACATAAAGAAATCAAAATGAGCTCATCCTTGAGCAGCTACAGAATTAAAATGCTACTTGCACACTAATGCACCAGTAATAAAAAAACAACAGCGTGAGAAGTCATTGCTGTAAGTGTCTGATGCTCCATCTGAGAATGTCTTTCCCTTTGTCTCTCTGCATCAACAAATCTAGAACTTGCAAATGCATTAATCTCCAAAGCAGTCATGTCATGGTTGACTTCCTATAACAGGAAAAAAAATTAGAGTATTATGTTTTTTGATGTTTGTTGTCTATCAATGATTAGACGCATACCAAGTGCTCTGCTCCCTCCATTTAGCACACTCAGTAACACAGTCCTCTCTGAGCGGTGTATATAACACTGTGGCGCATTTTCACATATTTCCTTCCTCCACCAAAATCAGGTCATGCTGATAGCTTTTCTCTGCTATTGGCCATATCAAGCCAGGCTGCGATGCTTATGCATGGGTCTTAGCTCATCTCACTGTGAAGTGATTAACCGATAATTACATGCATGGGTTGCATAACAGAAAAAGAAAAAAAAGTAACACTCTGGAATTGAATAGGTTGTCATTTAATAAGCAATATTCAACAGTTTATGTACAAATATGTTGGAAGAAATTTCTCTCTCTCTCTCTCTTGCTTTCTGTTTGAGAAAATGGCTGGTTGTGACTGCTTTACAATTTCTGGCCTCTCATTATAGTAGGTCAATCACCATCTAGTCTTGGTTGCACAGGGAGTGTCACAGACTTTTCCCACCAAGATATGTGTCATGCTGATCTCTTTATTAGCCTGACTGTATCAGTGGATTATCAGAGAAATTAGCATCTCCACAGAGGTGTTTATGAGGCAGCCCACACATTATTGAGAAACGTGGTAAGGCAGAAATATGAATACAAAGCTATGTGTAACTCAGGCACGCAGGCTTTCTGAAGTAGCTTCTACAGGGTGGCTGTGGATTCATGAACTGGTATCAAAAACAGGTCTTGTTAGAGTGTTTAACCAGTAGCTGCTGTTGTTTGGCTCTTTGCCTCAGAGCCGTCGTCTCCAGCAGCACAATGACTGGCTCTGACTCTCTCCTGGAGCCTGACTCACTTTGATCCAGTCCCAGTGGTGCTCTTCATCGAACAGGCCGGTGTCACAGAGCATCATTTGTTTGACAAGGAAGGCCCCTGCCTCATCAATATTTATGTTCTCCTATAAATGGTGAAGGGGAATATGATTTAGGACATTGTGTATGCATCTGTTGAGTTAAGTGTTTGGCTCGGTGTTCATACCTTGGCTGCAATTTGTTCCTGCGTGTTAATATTTGAACACATTTTATGAGCAGGCTATACAGCAGCAGAGTTAAAGTCACACACACAAGATCCAGTGGTGGCTTTACTCAGGCAGAATGGAGCTTCATTAATGTGAAATAAAATTTGTCAAATGCAAAAACCATCAAACAAGTAAATCAATAATTAAATAATTCAATCAATCATTGGTTGAGTTACCAAAGACAAAGGGCAAGAGAGTAAAATTTTATCAAGCCGATCCCACAAAAAACTCTCTTGCTGACTGGCTTCCTGTTTCAAAATAGACAAACAATAGTGTGACCTCACGCATGTATAATTAATTCCTTACACATTTTACAGCGAGGATATGTAACTGCTATACAGTAGATAATGTGGTCACAAGTAACACATATGGGACAACAGCAAAAATGTCTCTGTTGACTGAAAACTATAAATCTCCAAATTTGGTAATTTTAGAATTTTCATATATACTTCAAATAAAGTGTTCCTTCATGGGCTTAGAAAATTCTCCTTCTTCTTGAGGCTAAAATAACAATGAAAAACCAATTGATTTATCTACAAAATGAATTGCAACAGATTAAAACATGTGTTGTTTTTCTCAGCTAATGAAAACTTGACATTTTAGAGAGTTTTCTCAGGGCAGCAGTAAAATGCTAAAATATAGTGTAAGACTAGTTGAGGTAGAGAATGGCCATGACGTTTCTCAGAAGTGACTCACTAATGTCAGGCATAAGGAAATATCTAGTTTGCTAACATTAGCTGTCAAAAACTAATGATCATACCAGACCAAGTAAGACTGTAGAAGCAGAACCTCTGATGGTATTAGTTTGAGCAAGTGTGCGTATTAATGCATATGAATTTAGCTTTTCATATGTAAAAGAAAGAATGTGGTATTTAATCTTTTCAAGAAACATATTCTCACATTAAATCATTAAGAAGAATGAAAGGAAACCATGCCAAATATCATACAACAGACTTATAAAGTTGCACTTAATTTAAAAAAAATAATAACTTTCTGTATTTTTTTTATTTCATTCAAATTCAAATAGAATGTTAAATTTAGATTTTGACTGAGTACATTAAGGACCTGCCTCGGTTAATATCTCAGTCCCATAATGACTGAAACACAACACATACCTTTGCAGAGGTCTCAAACCAACCCATGAAGCTGTTGTCTTTACAGAAGCTGTCCAGAGAGGACATCAAGTCTCTGTCCCTATCTGTCATGTCACATTTGTTGGCCAGCAGGATGGCAGGGACCGGACGTCCATTGTCGAGACAGACTTTGCTATCGAGGTCCTGCTTCCACTCTGAGGCAGCCTCCAAGGTGGAGCTGTTTGTGATGTCAAAGACCACTAATGCTCCCATAGCACCCTTGTAGTACACTCTGGACATCTTCTTAAACCTCTCCTGGCCTTGTGGGAAAAAAGAAAAACGTGTAACTTGTGCTTTACCACAGCTAGCGCTCAAATCTGAAGCCAAGAGTAAAGATGTTTTTGGATTTGAATTTCAAGGTGGAACAGATACACACAGTCAGATAAACTGTTTGTTTATCATGTGTGATTTGAATTATCATATCAAATCAGAGTTACGTAATAACTGAGAGACTAACAGCAATAATATTCTGAAATAAAACAGTATGTTTCCATGGACACTGGTCAGGATTAAAATTAGATCTGAGAAAATACTGGGTAAAAGGGCTGCAATGTTCTTGAAGCAGTTTCCAGGCACTGAAAGCACTCCAACATACTGTGAACATATTCAACAGTTCTAGTCAAATCACAGCATGATTTATGTGTGTTTGAAGGTAATTTTGGTAGATTGAATCCCTTGCTGGACTTTTGTGAAGGTCATTTAGACACATTTAAAAATTTCAGTGAAGGTTTGGCAATTGACGCAACATTTAGAAAGGTTGTAGTGCCTTAATTGTATGCTTTTATAGGCTAATAATTTTACACCTACTGTACCTGCCTAAAAATGTACCTTTGGATAATCCTCACATAATGCAACTGGCAAATATAATCCAACAAAATTTTTACTTTCAGATTTCCAATTAATTTTAAGTATTTTTTTCAAATAACATTTTTTTAATATTTACAGTCCTTGGTTCATAGGAAATCAATATTTCTCTGTTATGCTAAGTGTGTGTTTATGCTTTATCACTCCAACACTAACATTTACATTGAAATCAATATAATACATTACATTTAATGTCTCATATTATTACTTTTTTTTGGTGGTGGGGAGTTCTACTATAAAAGGTTTATATGCTTTAAAATACACTATTGTGGCAGCACCTCTATTCAACTGATTGTTTTGTATTAGCTCCTGTCTTATTGACAAGTCCAGTCTGCTCTGATTGGTCAGCTCTCACAGGCAACTTCCACATCAGCTCTGCCAGTGTTTTTGCAACCAGGGAATCACTGTAACCAAGTTTAGCTGCACTCCTACTGTGAATATCATATTAGAAACTACTTCTAAACCAAAAACTTCACCATCGTACATGTTACAGCGAGACAAATATTTGTGAAAGAACATGATATATTTATCTAATACCGCAGGACCCTTACTACTAAATTAAAAAATGATCAAAACCTTCCTTAAAAACAAAACACTTTATTCATAGCCTGTTGGAATGGATACTTTCTTTACTATTTATTTTGGATAGTACTCCAGTGTTGCATAGCCCTTGATCGTTCTCATTCCAGGCAGACAGTAAAAACAAATGCAATTATGAAAATACATCAGAAGATGTAAACCACTATACTATAACAAGCAAAAAGTAACAATTGTATTTCCACCATATGGTTTGCAGCAAGAAGCCTGTGTGCCCAGGTCACATATTGGGCTACGGCTAAAGCAGTTTCTGTAGTTTTGTTTTTAGTTTAGTTTTGTAGTTACAGCAGATTTTACACACGTTTTCACTATTGCACATTTATATGGCATAATTAATTTTATATGGTAAAAACGATGGCAGTTATTTTTGCGTTTTGGCTTTGTAGGGCAGACAAGTACAACAGAGACTTCACAATCTTGACACTCACCTGCAATATCCCAAAGCTGGAGTCTTACCACTGTCTTGGCATCCCATTCAATTGTTTTTAGAGCAAAGTCTACTCCAATAGATGCTTTATATCTTTCATCAAAGCATTTATTAAGATAACGTAAGATAATGCTGCTTTTTCCAACGCCTGGATCCCCAATGACTAAAACTTTAAACAGCTTGTCTGCACATAATGTCACTGAACTTCCTGCCATGTTGCTGTTGCCTCAACAGGAAACATGTAAAATAATAATTTTTCCTAAACCATGGCAAAATTAGGTCTGCTATACAACCAATTTTAATTAATATACATTTACTGCAGATGCCTCAACCCTACTCATTCCCTTTTACAACTACTTCTTAGTGTTCCTGTTTTGAATTTCTTCCTTCACAACAAAGCCATAAATCTTTGACCTTTGATTTAAAACAGTTATTGCAAAAGGGAACATCAAAAACACAGACACCTAATGTTTCACCACGAAAAACAGGAGACAAAAACATAGAAAATACTTAATTTACTCCAATCAAACAAGTGTCCTTTGAAATGCTCTACAGTAAATATTTGTTTAAAATGACAGACTTAATTTATACTGTGTATATATCAGGCTGCAAATAGCTTATTCAGAATATTACGTATAACAGTAACAGTAGCACTTCATCACATTATACGGTTTTGATAGGCTCCTAAAGTCTTAATATTTAAGATTGATTGGAGTACACAACCAATCACACAATAGAAGTATACACAGCTAATGAGTTTTTTTCTAATATGGTAATGCATATAGATATCATCAGAATACCAAAAAATTATACACAATTCATACATTCACAAAACGTATGTATGTCATTTATCTTATACATAAATCTATACAATTGTGAAATCAGATGTCTAATTATAAAAGATACAAATTTGAAACTAGTTTAACTTGCATTTCAGGATCATAGAAATGGAATAAATGTACAAAATAAAATAAAAATCTTGATGAAAATGTGGCACTTGTCTTCTGCTACATTCGTGATACAGTCAGTGCGGCAGTACTGTATCTATCAAAAATTCACAGATACGTGTTACTTGTCAACAAAATCATGTTGACACGTCACCTTATAAATTTCCTCAAATAGAGAACATTTTTATTCTGCTCTCTCACCTTAAAACAACCCTAAAGACATTTTGGGAAATGCACTGCTTATTCTCTTTCTTGCCAAAAGTTAAAAAAGAAGATTGATATCACTCTCATGTCTGTACACTAAATATGACACTATTGCCAGTAAGTGGTTAGCCTAGTTTAGCATAAAGACTGGAAACAGGCTAGCCTCGCTCTGTCTAACGGTCACAAAATCTGCCTACTCCTCTTAAGATAACAAATTAACATGTTATATATCTTGTTTGTTTCTCTCTTTCACAAAAACCAAAGTGTAAAAATTACAATTTATGGGGTAGCTGTTTTCATTTACTAGTCTTTTTGTTATGCTAAGCTAATGGCTGCTAGCTGTAGCTTTGTATTTAGCAGACAGATGTTAGAGTGGAATCGATCTCCTCAAACTCTCTTCAAAAAAGCAAATAAGTGTGTTTTCCAACTATTCCTTTCAACCTTTCTTTTGTTTTCCTGATAAAGCACAAAACACACAATGTGTAACACTCAACATATTTTCTAAAAATATTGTTGACGAATTGGATGTTTTGCATTACATACAAACTATATTCACCGTTAAAGGGAGAATAAGTGGTTCTGCAGAAGGATTGTTGATCAGCCGAAAACAAATACACTTTTAAGTGTTTATACTCAGACCTTTTCCTCTTTGGCTGTTTCTCGTCCATCTCTTCACAGTGCCTTGTGCCCAGCACGTTCAAATGTGCCAGTGTATAGAACTCTCTCTCCCACTGCCTCCCTCTGCCCCCATCACTCCTGTTGCTGATTGGCTGGAACAATGCTGGGTGGCAAGGTTCACACCACTTTCTTTGTTGTCCATTTATAGAGCCATGGCTGTGTTTCAGAGCACACACAAAACTGAGAGCTGGCAAAGCGTAAGGAAATATTAGCTGAATTTAACAAAAAGTGTACTGGATTACAATCACTCACTATCCCTTTACGTTACCTTGTTTAAAATCAGCAAACTTCAAAATCTGCTTGGTATGTCACCTATATTTATGAAATAACTCTTTTTATAGTAATAAATATACATACATAGACAATCTTAGTTGTTTGTCTCATAATCACAAAATCTATTTTATCCTAAAAGCTTATGTTAGCTTATAAATATATGTTTGTAATAGGCAAATTCTTTCACTATTGTAGACAACATCTAAAATAATTTTCAAAATGTGGTGCCTTGTTGTTCACCCTTATCATGTAAAAGCTGTCAACTACAGAGTGAAAAATTACCTTTCAGTCCACAGAATGACTTTCCTTATTTATCATCATATACAGCACAAGTCATGAACTTTAAAATATTGTACAACTGGTAATATTTCGCGTGCACCCTCACAGAGTTGAGGAGCTTTGCTTGAAGTCTCTGAGGATGACAGAGGCATATGTCACATTTGGAGGACTGCACAAAATCGACTCAGACACTGGCGAATTAGGGAAGGGGCTCACTGGAGGACCATCGCAATCTCTGAAAGGGGAGGGAGGCATCAGAGCCAGAGAGTCCTCCATGGCTAATTTGACCTCAACTATGTCCTCCTCATCATGAATCTGGGCGTTGTTGTACATGTAGCCATGAAGAAGGCCAAACTGCTCATTCTCCATCTCGTCCTCCTCCTCTAAAGGGGAGGTTGGCTCCTCATCGAACGGGTCGAGGTACACAGGCAGGACCGGGTCCTGCTGGATGAGGTGGGCCTGGTGGTATACGGGCATGCCGCCACTCACGGTCTCAGGCATGCTGATCATATCATTAAGCTCAGGGATGTCACTGTTGAATTTACCAACCACCATCTCCTCCTGAAGGTGGTCCATAATGACGTGTTGGGAGATAACGCTATTTGTCTGCAGATGCTCTGGGGTATAGAGTTCCACCTCGTCGTCCACATCTTTTATCAGACCACAGCCAGGAATTTGCCCATGGGCCATCATGGGGGGAGTGGCGGGGGGATTGTATCTGACAGGGTCGCTCTCGTCCTCCTCAGCCACATTATACAGGGTTTTAGTACTGAGGTCTGAGAACTCCAGGGCTCTGTTTTGGTAGGTATTAGTTAAGGGTTTGATGACAGCCATCTGATTGGTACCTGCTTCCTGTCTCTTCACATGCACTGACAGTCTGTGCCACATGTGATCCCCTTTTGGAGGATGTCTTGCACCTGGTTCAGACCATGACACAGACTTTCCATTAGAACTATGAACAAAATAAAGATGGCTGTTACTTGACAGGAACCCAGAAAAGTGGAGACAAAAACAGCATCTCTGATTCATGTAAGTAGAAATATTTTCACTGAGTCTAAAAAAGAAAAAATATTAATCTAAAAATATATAATATTGAATGTTTTAATCCAGGGTGTCTGCAGGTCTTCAAAAATCTTTAAAAAAGACATTGAAGTCAGTTTCCTAAAAAAAAAAGGCCTTAGAAGGTATTAAAAGCTTTAAAAATTAAAATTCCTGAATGACTCCTTGACTGCCACAGGTAGTAATGTTAGGTATAAATGTACGAACTCATTTGCAATTGTTGCTACAGTGGATTGTGCACACAGGAGGCTGTCCAATCATTTTTTTGTGGTGTTTCAGTCAAAATCATCAGATCTATTGCAAGTTTTAGCAAAGACTTAAATGAATTAATAATATTTCATTGGTTAATCCATTTTATCCCACTTATCTGGGTCCAGGTCACATTAATTTAATTAATTATATCATGGGAATTATTGTTATATACTGCTGGAAAGTAGAGAAAAAGCATATGTATTATAAATAATTCTATATTCCATATTGTCCCTACTGGTTTTCCATAATACGTTCATACTTTGGCCGTATGACATATATTATTATGACACATAAAGCTGCCATAAAAGTGAATTCTGTGTTGTTAAAAAGGTTATTTTATTTGGTGAACCCTGCAGAAACCCTGTATTCTGTATTTGTGATCCCACTTGTCATCCCTTAGCACACAGAGATGCTTGTTTTAATTTTACCATCAGTTCAAAGGTTAAAATGGCTGTGTGAATTGGGCACTGACCTATATCCGTCACACTTTAACAGGTTCCCTACGAAAGTGAATACAGTAAGACATCAGGTTCCCCTTGAGAGGGAATTACAGTAAAACCAGCATCCCTGAGGTGCCTCAGGAGTAGGACTCAGACTCAATTAACGAACCTACCTGCCATTTCCAGTGTTTTTCTTTCTCTTGAACATGTTGAGCAGGCTGTTGCTTCGGCAAGCAATTTTGCCATCGCCGACGTGCATGCGCACAGCATCAGAGGTGGTGAATGCGCTGCGCACGTTTCGCTCTGGTTTGGCAATGATGATGTACATCTTTGGTGTGAACATACAGCCCAAGGCTACAGTCACACTGAGGCTTACAGAGAAGGATGTGGTGATGATCTTGTAGTTGCTGCCAAAGTAGATGGGCACAAAAGCCAGCCAGATGATACATGTGGTGTACATGGTGAAGGCAATGTATTTGGCTTCGTTGAAATTTGCAGGAACGTTGCGGGTCTTGAAGGCATAGTAAGTGCAGCTCATGATAAGCAAACCATTGTAGCCCAGAGGAGCCACAACACCCACGTTGCTGGTGTTGCAGATGAGGAAGACTTCTCTGATGCTGGGGTAGGATTTGATGGGTTCAGGAGGCTCCATGATGATGAGGGTAATCTCCAAGGTGAGCTGTACGCTGATCAGGATGGAAGCAATTACAACTTGAGCCCAAGCACTCATGAACCTGGGTTTCCTGGTGCAGATCTTCTTCTTGCTGCCTGCCAGAATACGGGCAATGCGGTTGGTTTTAGTTACCAGGGCAGAGTAGCACATGGCAGCTGAGAGTCCAACAAGCAGCCTCTGGAGGTAGCAGGAGGCCACGGTGGGACGGGCGATTAGGGTGAAAGGACACATGTAGCCCAGGAAGATCCCTGCGAGGATGATGTAGCAGAGCTCCCGACTGGAGGATTTGACCACAGGTGTGTCACGATATAAGACAAAGATGAAGGCAACAAATGATGTGACCAGGATGCCCAGGCAGGAGAAAACCACCTGGATAATGGACTCTGGGTTGCTCCACTCCAGGTAACGCAGGGGGATTGGCTCACAGCCTGAACAGGGGAAAACATGACAATATAAATACACAGCAATAACATCGTTTCAGCATCAGCTTCGTGAAGAGAAAGGTTGTCTAAATGAAAGGTAATTCTGAGAAGAGTTAAATGAAACGTTTCAGTTTGTTTTATGCGTTATTCTTTGGACACATTCAAAATTAATCAAATACATTTTAGCCTGAGAAAATACAGTAAGTCTCAAAGTAGGTTTTTAGCTCAACTATAAATAAACTCCTTTCTACTCAGCCATGGCCAGGCTGGGCCACAGCCAGCAGAGGAGGGGGCCAATGCAGCAGGACAAAGTAAATCAATGAGTTTTTCATGGATCCAAATAAGATCTTCTGCTTCTTGTTGAGAACTCACTCTGAATATCTAATTTAGGTTTTATTTATTTCCTGTATAATGACAATAATCATTTTTATGTCATCCCTGGGCTCCACATTTTCTCATTTCTGTGTGTACATAAAAGTCTTGTGGTAAAGAAAAACAAAAAACAAAACAGCATGGAGGCACGATGATCCTATTAAGGAAGTGTCTTGTCTTTGAACAGCACAGAGGGCCTTTGAAAGTGGGCCAGAAGAGTGGTAAGTGAAGTAGGGCTGCTGTCGGATAAAATGGTGAAGATGATGAATGGCTCTCAGGTGTCATGGGAAAGCAATGAAAATAGGACAGAACAGGTTTATGAAATAGCGCTGCAGAAATCTTAGCAGGACAAACTGTACAGAGTACAGGTGGGAGGAGGAGGGGAGTAAAAGCTTGGAGGAACTTAACTTTCTACACAGCCTCTAATAACACAAAAAAATCCCCTCTTATCACTGAAAGCATCAATCATGCAACAGGATCTCAGCCTGTGGCCACTGAAGTAACCTAAATTCATCTAAATGTAAATGTAAAAATTGCAGAACAGCAAAATCTTCTGTTCTAATCACATGAGGATTATTGTCTTGGGTGAATTTTGCAGAGAAATTTTGGTGAGTTAAAGCAACAGTTAGACATTTTGTCTTTATTCACTTTCTTGCTGAGAATTAGATGAGGAAATTGAAATCAATCTATAGCCAAGAGCTGATCGGCTTAGCTTAGCATAAAGGTAGGATTGCTACAGGAAGAAACAGCTAGCCTGGGTCTGTCTAACAGTTAAATATGTCTTATAGACCCTCTAAAGTCTACCAATTAACATGTTACAGCTAACTTAATCTGTACAAATTTTTACTTTTTTTTTTTTTTTTACCTCAGATTAAGTGCCACACTATTTCTTGGCTGGGCCCAGACTTCTTCAAGTCCTGTTGTCATCAGAAACTCCACGAAGTTGTTGCTCACAGCCAAACAAATTGTCTGACAAATAACTCCCTATTTGTTGTTTTTTTACACTTGATTTTTGTACGGATTACACAGACAAGTATAAAGTGTTAATTGGGGTTATGTTACCTTTGGACCGAGCCAGGCTTGCTGCTTCTCCCTGTTTCCAGTCTACTAAGCTAAGATAACCGGATGGTGGCTAGTTGTAACTTTACGTTTAATGGACAGATATGAAGGTGTTAAGTCTTCTCATCTAACTCTCTGGGGGGAGAAAGGACATAAGCATGTTTCCCAAAATGCCAGACTACTCCTCGAAAGGAAAAGCAGTTACATCCTCTGCCAGCTCCTGTACAGTGTTCGAAGCAGGTGAGAGTTTACAGAAGTAGGTAAGTGGAGAATATAGAGTACAAGCCTACCTTCCAGTTCATTGTCAGGCCACCAACCCAGATCACAGGCCTTGCATGTGAACTCATCCTGGACGTATTCATTGTCCTTACAGGCAGTGCAGATCCAGCAGCAGCTCACTTCTCCCTTCCTGATCACCTGGTTAACAAAATAAATGTAGAGATATGTAAAAATACTTTCTTAAAAGTACCTATCTCTACCCTGAGTTTGTTTACATTTAAAAGACATCCCCACTGTCTACACATGTTTAAATATTTGTTTTTAACACAGTAAAACTAAAGATACTGTAGAAAGCGAAACGAATTATGACAAATATATGGAGATGATCAGATTTGGCGTTAGGTTTCACCAACAGGCATCTTCTAATTCAGGAGAGATTTCTTTTTTTATAATTGACATCTTTTAATCTTGTAAAAAGTAATGTAAAAAATATGTGTGTAGTTACAGTTAGATAACAGATTATATTGACAGAATTATCAGCGGAAATGCAGGTACAACTTTCTAATTTATAAGGGGGGGAAATAAGTTGTAACAAATGGCTTTTGTTATGGTTGATAAAATACTTACTAATGCCTTATAGATCAGTTATAAACCATTAAAAATAACTTGGTGTTGCCAGGTTGCGAAAACTACTTGACCATTTCTCTTTCTAGAAAAGAGCTGCAGATGATCTGGACCAAAATCCATGAATTAAAAACTTATTAATACTTACAGCTGCAGACGTGATGATTAAAACCCTTAATAACAGACCAATTAACATGTATAATATCATAGTATAAATAATTCTAGGCTTATTAGAAAGTGAGAAAGCCATGAGCATTTCTTTAATGGATTTACAACATTTATAACTTATTTTTATGCCAAATAGAAAGGATAAACATCAGTCAATGTGTTCCTTCTGACAACCCAAAATGTGTTCTTATTAATGGCTTATGATGGATCTATAAAGCATTAAATGAGTAAATGACTTATTAACCATCAATAAAGCCATTAGTTAAGACTTGTACACCCTTTTAAAAAGGTGCATTATAATGCCTTAATCAATATGTACAATGTGACTAAGCTATTTATTTTTAAAAGTGAAAGTGAGGAAAGAGAGAAGTGTAGTGCTAAAATTTAAAGAACAGTGAATCCAGTGTAAAGACTGAACTACAGAGCTACTCCACAGTGGTTCAGAGGTAACATGTGGAGTCACAATATGTCCTAAGCAGGATAGTATCTAAATAATTCGCTCCTTACCTTGATCTCTCCTTTGGAGCAGGGCTCACTGCAGACAGAGCGGACCATGTCACTGCGGTTCATCTGAATCATTTCTTCATCGAGAGTGAGTATGCCCTCATGCCAGGAGCCGATGTTGATGTAGTCATAAACACCAGGCTCCACATGCTGGAAGTTCATAATCTCATACCTGATGGTGGATAGGATGGTAGAGGAAGACACGACTCAGAAAGTTCTCAACGAATCTGAATCAATTCTTAAAGGGGAAATAATAGGAGTTTTACTGCCACTGCATAAAACCTGGGGGCCTGTCAGGTTCTTGATCAATACCAATGACTCAGGGATTATTTTGCCAGGTGCTGATGTGTCTGGCTTTCATCTCTCTTGTTATCTGGTTTGCAATAAAAAATAAAAAAAAACCATCTGAAGATGCAATTTTAGTCGCTCACTGATTAAAGTGCAGGACACAGGCAACTGAAACTATTTCTATGTATATGGAGGACTTTTATTATTATTTTTTTAACTTAAAGTCAGTCTTTAAATGTTATTTGCACTGAATATCCCAAACAAATTTTGTAATTTTAGCATTATTATTAGTTGGAGTTTTTATTGTAAGATTAATTGAAGTGGCCAGAAAATTGCTTTCCTTATTACAGTAGGGAAATGTATTATTACCAACTGAAAGCAACCTTAATTATTTAAAAAACAGATATTAATATTGTAAACATGATTTTAGATGTAGCCCTTATTGTTCCCTATAATAACTTTGTGCATATGTGCTGACAGGAGTTTCAGTGTTTCCTGAAATGTAAATACAATCATTAGCCCTTGAAATGTTATTTGGGATGCAGTATTGTAAATGTGGGGTGTTGTGTATCAATATTTGGCTTGTTTATTTTAAGTAATTTTGTAGAAAAGCAGCTGGTAAATGAATGTAATGTAACATAATTTATTTATTTTAATTGTTATTTTCACACAAAACAAATGCACTGATGAAAAAAGAAGCTAATTTCGTAACATTTTGTTACTTTAGTATTTCCATTTCATGACACATTATACTTCTACTCCACTACATTTCAGAGGGGATTGTCAGAGGGGATTTTGTGATTTTTACTTCTTTTAATTTGTGCAGTTTGGGCTTCTTGCTATATGGTTCAGATGTCCATGAGTTGTTGGCAGTTCCACCAAAGACATTTCCCATCTAAACTTCTCACATGGTTTAATTTAAGTGATTGTTTTGGGTCCAAAGAGGTAAAATCATCCAAAGTTTTACAAAAAGCAACATGTGAGCCCTTCACAGGCCCTCAGATTCATCTGGTGACCCTTTGATGAACCAAAGAATTTAAAGAATGACTGCACAGTATTTCTAGCAGAATGGAAGGAAAGTGTGTTTTACCTCCCAGGTGAGTCGCCATTCTCGTCAAACCATATGTCCTCTCCAGAAACACCCGTGAAGGACGTCTTGAGAAGAAAGTCCAGTAAGTGGCTGCCATCAACAGGCTTCATGTTGTCACAGAGTCCCACATGACCAGGGCAGAGGTGAGTGTGCATGTCATGCAGCCCGTGTGCCATGGCATAGATGGCATTGATGACGAAGCCCATCTTGCTGTCTTGAACGTAGTTGTCCTCCAGACTTTCATAACCTGCCCACACATATGAGAACGGTAAGAATTCATCTTCATCTCCATTGTTTTTTTTTACGGAAAATTCTTAAGGAGGAGCTTCTTTGCTGCAAGCAGTAGCATGTTATGTGTTATGCTGTAAAAATCTTTTTTCATGTGTAGTTTACAGGTGTGTCTAGCATGTATGTAACATATTACAAAGGAGTGATAGGGTGCTCACAGACGCATTCTTGTAATTATTCTCTGAATACAGGCAGCAAGCAACACGCCTATTTGCCTCTGTGGGAGACTGCTTTAAAAGAACTGGAAGCCTCAGAAAATGGCTTCAAAGAAACCTTGTTACCATGGCAAGACTATCCATTTCTGCATTCATGAGTCAGGATTCAATTAGGGTTGGTTGAAAATACTGTGCCACTGAGATTGTGTCTCCTCACGCAGAAAAGTGAACCAACTATTCTCATGCATTTGGATCTGCTGTCTTTTCTTCGTGTCGCTTTTCCTCAGACAAGCACGATGAGTGAATGAGACAAAGTATTCATATTTGGAAAAAAACGCATGTGATGTTCAAACACACCCTATCAGTTCAGTGTAATGCAAGCTAGAAGCAAAGTAAGCAGGTTTTTTAGTTGCTTTGTGTTAAAGTCAGATGTCAACTTAATGTTATTACAAAGAGCCATACCATGCATTCAATTCATTTTGGTAAAACTGTGGAGCAGCATGTTTGGCAGCTCCTGGGGTTAAAGATGACATTTTTGTATACCTTCCCTTTGTGATTACAATTTCAACGTAGTCTCTCACAGTAATTCACACATGTACATTTAGAGCATACTTACAAAACCATGTTTTCACACTAGCACTCTGTGCTAGTAAATTATCAGAGCCTATGAATTTTAATCTACAAAAGTGAAACATGGTCTATTATTGCTAATAGGACTGGAAATTATGTGAAACACTGCTCTTGTTCGCTTCATCTGTACATCTGTCACCTGAATATTTTCCTAAACGTGTGGGACTGATAATTTGATATCTGATGGAAAAGGACACAGCTTGCCAAAATGTAACTGACTTTTCCCCTGGAAGGGAATTTATGACATTAGGTGGCCATTGTCCATTATTAAGCTTGATTATTGTTACACTGTCAGCAAAAAAAGTGTGATTCTACAGTCTTCATAGCTGGTATGTTATAATAGTGATTTAAAAAGTAATGGTACTCAATAACACAGATCTTTATGTTATCCAGACACTCTTTATCAGTACTTCTATAAATTATAAGGGAATAATAATTTGATATGATAGGAGATAAAAATTTTCAGGTTGGTTAGTTTGTTGTTTGTTTACAGAATAACTAAATGTGTTTTTTATTTGCTTTGGATTTCTTAATTTTTAGAACATTTTTTATAATTTTCTCATTATTTAGTTAGGTTTTTTTTTTACTTATGAGTCAGGTAAAAAACATCAGGCAGATGTATACATTTGTTTTCTTAAGGTGATTTTCTTAAATTTCTTTCAATAGAATACAATTCAGACAGTCAGTGGTGTGTGTGTGTGTGTATTTTAATGTTTTAACAAACTGCCAAATGGACCAAAAACAATTTTCTACCTATGTGGACAGTATAGTCATATTCTATCAGTCTATCACAAAGCTTTAGATTAAAAATCTAAACATTTTCTGTTACGTATTCATCTGACTTGTTTAAAGGATTGTGCAGGCTTGGCAGAGATATTCACTCCATGCCTGTTTTTTAGTTACATAATTTGTCATTTACATTGTTAGTTGCTACATTTTTTCTTTTCTCTGACAGGACAAGACAGGATTCACACACTGCACCCGACAACATTTAACTGTGCGATACATGAGGCTGACAAGCTTTAGGGGCATCATCCCTTGCTGGTGTGTTTCTTACCACTTGTGTTAAATCAAGTAATGATCGTTAAAAAGGACTGCTGGGAAACTGACTGCCTGGGCACACAAACACATAAACAGTAAATTCAGTTGGAGTAGCAGCTGGGTGAGCGTCCGATGGGAGCTGCTGGTGATGACCTAGTTTAACAGCTCCTTGGCTTTGACGCTTGCCTCACTCGCTGAGCGGTGTGAGCTTCAGTCATGATGAAATGATGTCTGCATGCAAGCAGAGGACATACTGCTGCACCACGGGATTAGTTGGCTGCATGACAACTGAACCTTCTCTGTCTAAATACGAATAAAACTACAATACAATGGTTCTGAAAATATGTGTTATCTGTTGCAATATGTCTTCACTATTTCTGTGGCTACATGCAATTCAAGCCAGATCAGCCAGTTATCATCTCACTCATATGTTATTGGGCTGTTTTATGCGACTGTCTTAAGGCCACAAAGGGTGGGAGAGCACAAAGTGGGAGCAGATCAGACTCAATTGTAAGGCTCTCCCTGCAGTGTAAGAAAAAACAAATAAAAACATCCCAATAGCTTCATATATTAGAGGTTAACTGAGATTAATAGTACATTTCCAGAAAAAAAACATTATTGAGAATGTAGACTGAATACTTAAATGATCATCACGCATCATGTAATAAAACCTTAATATCAGTCAACCTCTATGTATATTCCCAAAGTGAGGAGCATTATGGTTCCATTCAGAGGGATTCACTCACCGTCCTGGAGTTCTACACCAAAAAAGTACATAAAAATATATATATAAAATAAAAACAATAGAAGTGACAGGACAGCAAACAATAATTCTATCTCCACTTAGGCAAAAGTAAATACTCTAATAACTGCTATTAAAATATGATGCTTTGTAGGAATGAATAAAAGCTTGTGGTATGTGCATAATACAGAAGAGAGGCTCTATTCATGTAAGTAATATGCAAACACTGCAAAGAAAAAAAGATTAACACAACAAAAAGTGGGTTGCATTGGAATAAAACAAATTCACTTGAAGAACCTTGAGAGCTGTCAACTGAAAAGTCAAAATTAGCTGCATGCATTATTTTATATTTACGTTCATCAATACAATTCATTTCATCAAATGATTTTGGAAATACTGGATGTTTATACTGGAAAACAGCAGCAACAATATTATCAATATTACCCATGAAATTCAGATTGAAAACGTAAATATATATTCTGTAAATATATTTTTGAAAGAAACATGTATGAGCAGTATGTAAAAATATGTTTTGAAAACATGCTTGTTGAGCATTGTTTCAGGAAACCAAGAGCTTAAGATAGCTGTTCCTTTGTAAAAGAAAAGGATTTAATTTACCTAGATCATCATCCTCTGTAAAGCCAAGTGTCACAGAAATAAACAATATGAAAAAAAATGTTATTGGACTGACTTAGAGAGAATTCAACCCTCTGGCAGTCTAATTCATGATTAAAGAATGTGTTCCAGTTTAAGGGGCCTTTTGGCATTGTCCTCTGGGCATTGCACACGTCACAACAGTTTAAAAAGACAAGCCGATGTGCACATCGGCATGAAAATGTAAACCAGAAACACTGCAAGCAACATCATAATTGGATGTATAGCTACCTGAGCAGTTTCGTGCATAGTTCATGTTCTCTTGCGGATGTCCGGGAAGGCGGCACTGAAACCTGTACTGCCAGAACTCGGGGAACCAAGGGTTGCGGGTGTTGGTGCTGAGCCTGAGCTTCAGGAAGTACTCATCGAAGGAGGAGACCTCATCAGACTGCAGCTTTACAGTGAGGCCGCCAACAGCCTCTTGTTCATATCCTTCCACCACCTCGACTCGGTCTGCCCAGCCATCACTGCAGATAGGAAAAAAGAACTACTAGCCCCAGTTTATACCTCTCATGCATTAACATTACATTTGGGAACCCTCTGTTTTTGTGAAAAATAAATACCCAGTGACCTCTGAATAACCCTGAAGCTTATTGTCAATGCTTACATCCTTTTTCCTGAAGGTATTTCCAGAATCCTCAGAGACTTTTCTAACCAACTGATGAATAAATATTGTTCAATGAAGATAACACATTTTTATTATGAATCCTAGTTCGAAAATTCCTAATTCAAACAAAAAAGTAGCTGGAGATTGTGAATTAAAGGTGTTACGCAGGTCTTCTATACCAAAATTAAACCACAGATGGCTGTCAGAACAATGTGATATTTTATTTTCTGTCCTACAAGCTGGCTACTAGAAGGATGTTTTCAAGGGTGTCTGGTACTGCAATGCAACTTGAGCCAACAATGATCATTTTTGGCACACAGAGACACTGTCCATTGAGGGGACTCATGCCCTTGTAACAGCAAATAAATTTGAAGAATTTGTGCGGTACACGTCACTACGACATTACGAAGGACAGACTTGATGATTTTAGGGACATTTGGTCCCCCTTAATTGCTTTTCTGGAATAAGTCCATGTCAACTTGAATGATGACTCTCACTCTTTATCAGACAGCTCTCAGGAGATTGGTCCAGTGGTAGGGATAAGGCATAGGTATTTGTTTTGTCTTTTTGTTTGCCTATTGCCTCACCTTGTACACCACGCTCATTGGTTCTTGCGGGTTCACCATGTTTTGTGTTCTCTTGTACTGACTTTATTTTGTGGAAGCACGAATCACATAGCTGAATAGCGTTAATAAATATATATGTACAGGATATACAAAATGGTAGCTGGAAATGACATCTGTCCTTGCTCACTTTATATGCTGTGAGCCAGCAATACAAAGTTTTGTTATTAGTTGTAATACTTTCTGTTTTAAAAAAAAAAGATTTTCATTCAAAAAACATTTTTTACATTTTTCTCGTGTTGTACAGGTTAGGAATAAGAGTCGCAACTTTGGAAACAGGTTAAAAATCTTTTTTTGTTATGCAACTATTAATAATAATAATAATAATAATCTTTATTTGTAGAGCACTTTTCAAAAACAAGTTACAAAGTGCTTTAACAAGGGTAAAGACAATAATACCCAAGAGACAATAATACAAAAACAATACAAGATAAAAGCATGAAAACATTGAAAAAACTAAAATACATGTTTAAGATAAATATAAAATTAGTAAAATACAATAAAATAAAAGGGATTAAAAAAGGGATAAAAAC